ACCTTTCAACAGATGAAAGTCGGAATGATAACGCATATGCTTATAATGTTCGTGATATTTAATAACGATAAACAAAATACTGAACCACAGTTCATTCGAGATTAATAAGATACCGAAACAAATATGGTTTGAAAGCCTGATAAGGCCCCAGGTAAAGGCCATACTACCATACAACTTATGAAACAATTAAAACGATTTAACAATAAATTCGTAAAAAATATAAAATATATATATATTAAACAGAGCTGCGCTCGTGCGTGGTTTATATGACAGAATGTCACTTTTGATGACTGACGTGTTCTAGATTAGGAATCCCAGTATTAACCCTAAATGCGTTTCCATAAAATTATCTATGAATAATTAATGTAAACTTCACCTACAGGTGACCGTATATCAATCAGGCGTGGTACTATTTCCGCCTCTCGCTCTCTCTCTACACAGAACTACTGGTAAACCAGACATTGGACCAGAAGTCTGTGATAACATAACACTAAAACATCGTAAATAAGTTAACAGAATGAAAAAGTAGTATTTGCATTTACTTTCGGATCACAAATGTATTCAATGTTATGATGAATAGGTGGTATTCTTTTTACTTATTAAGATTAAGTGTAGAGCCAACTCTCAGTTACTCATCGTACAGTAAAATGCATGTTTGTTCTTAGTTTTTCTATACCATTTTGTTTCCTGCATGTTTGGTAATATCTGTATCTGGTAAATAACAGGTATACCTATGTAGTACACTTGGTACTTAGTCTTTAGTTTTGATGGTTTTATAGTATATGGTATGCCTGGTTAGTTTGATTAGCTTGAATATTAACAGAGAGTGAAAGTCGCAACAAAGTTTCCGTATGTTCCGTAGGAAGATAACCGAATTTCTCAAACAACGGTAATATGTTTGTGTTTAGAAAAGTATTTGTTTGGACAGGGAAAAGTTTGGTGGATCGTATATTTCGCGTGATAGAATACTGATGTTTAATGCATATGTCATAAATGTTAAAGAGTCGTCACTAATAGATACTTATCAATATAATTGCGAATAACTAAATGTTTTACATTGCACGATGCATTTGCATAAAACATAAGGCATGCTTTTTCAGGACCCACGTAAATATATACCCTGTGATACTGACGTGACGAAATTAGCAGGTATCTACGACAGGCACCACATGCTTTGCAAAAAGATTAATACATTTTAATTCATGAAGGCACTATTAATAAATGTGATGTTTTGGACATGAGTTTGCATATACTTATAGCAATCTCATGAAATATGCAAAAGGTTAAATAGCATACATTTTAATGTTTAAAAATGCAATCGCAATTTTTAATGTGGGAGACATGCATATCATTTGCAAATAACGTAAGTATCATTACATTTTATGACATATGACTGAGCATAGGTCAAATTGTTAATCGACCATGGAAAACAATATGTACAGATGCTGAAGGAAAAGGCTGATATCTTACAATTTCCGAAAGGTCAGAAAGGTCAAATATTAATAAAAAATGAGTCTAATTATTCCAAACAGACAACATGGGCGCAAAAAAGGTACTTTGAATTGACATGATTACGCAATAATTGCAGACAAATTAAATTTTTACCTTGTCATTGGTATCATACTCTGCTGTTAGCAATTCATTATTCTTCATTTTAACGTCAATGGGGCATGTTCATTCTGTCATGTTATGACACTTCGTCAGAATAAGATACAATATATACGAGATTTCTAACTAACTTCGTCAACTCATCATCTGGCGTAAATGTGCTTTATCATATTCTATATTTAACACTGAGAAAATCATCATCGATAAAATGAAATAATTAACCCCATTCCTTAGTTGAAAGTTAATGTTTATATGTTCAAACAGTACGATAAAAGGTGGTATTCTTAACTGAGAACTGATCAATACCGCGCGTGTTTATGACACACAATAAATATCTGATGTATGGAGCTCGTCAGTTGAATAACAATTATTCCACAATGAATACACATAATGCACGAATTCGCCAGAATAATGGATTTTTTTAGTATTTCATATTTAGAAATAAAGAACTTAAACTGAAATAGTAAGATAAATATAACCAAAACAGCCATAGAAGGAAAAGTGACGAACAACTACGTACATTGTCATCCTTATAAAATTATTTCATTGGTTTATATACTTTGAGTGTAATATACAAAATGTAGTAAGTGTATATGCTTTTGTGTAGGAATCTTTTCTCTTTGGTATTTGTTGTTGTTGTTGTTGTTGTATTTTTTGGTGTTGTTGTTGTTGTTGTTGTTGTTATTGCATCAATGTCTCCCCAATAGTCGTTCTGGTGTTATTGCAGTTGATGTTGTGGTTTATCTTCAGTTCTTGATTTTTGTTGCTCTGGGGTCTCCTTTATTGCGGTTGAAATGTGTTACTTCAGTTACTGTTACTCTGAGGTTTCTTCGGTAGCTGTTGTTCTTGTATTGCTGCAGTTGCTATTGAGCTAGGGTCTCCTCAATTCTTTATTTTTTTAATCTCATCTCGACTTTTCCTAGCCAAACAAATTAATGAACTGAGGTAGTAACAAAATAATCTTTTACGAATCTATAAGAAAACTTGCTGACTTGTTCATTCTTAAAAGCATATCTTTTATCACAGAACACTATGTTTCTTATTTCCTCGTTGACCTACCTACGTCAGAAGTGTTTTTCAGATAGTACAAACCTGTCCACAGGATAAATTTATAAGGGATATCTAATACCTTACTGCGACATTTATTTCCTTTTCAAGAGACATTTAACACTAAAATTCCCATAGATATGTTCAATTAATGGCGATTGTCTGACATCATTTAAATTATGAAGTAGCATTTAACATTTTGACATTTTGACACATCAACATTTTGAAAGAAAGTAATTACATCATGTCAATAAATCAAGTAGTATTATGTCATGTATTATCTATGAACTATGTGAAAATCAACAGTCAAGGTCAAGGCCGCCAGTGGGACCTTAGTCATGGTTATATCGTTGCGACAACATCCCTATCGAACAAAACACACCTACGTTATTACAAAGCTTATCTTCAATAAACTTTGACCTGGCATGAAGGTTACACTAAGGTTGATTAACACGAGCATCATTACCATGACTTTTGTGTTGAACATAAGAAACATGAAACCAATTTCTCCATTTCTACGGAGGTACATTGTGAGTCCTCTTTTAAAATTTATAGTGATTTTATCAAATTCTCCTAGAGATATGTTTCATTAATTCGTTGTATTTCCTGCTACAGTGCAGGCTTGATGAGCGGTTACTATATAATAGTATGCATTATACTAGTTATGATTTACATGTATTTGGTTATATATAAATGGAAATAAATGAAACAATGAAGTACACAGATATAGGAGTGTATATAAAACAATACTCTACCAAAGTCAAATCATCAGACGTTTCCCTCGTGTGTAAGATGTCTACAATTTTATGAACCATTACATTAGTAACTTTTGTATATTTTGTTTTACATTCTTTGGTTTTCGAAAGAAAAAATGTAAAAAAGAATATGATATATTTCTTTGTTGTTTCTAAATATACTTTATATATTGTTATCTAAAACGACCGTATGATGACTTCGCACCTGTTTCAGATGACAAATGTATGTAAATGTATGATTTACACCTCATTACGGTTACATATTACTAATTAGGGTATATAACACGAAAACTTTGCATGAGTGACATGATTTTAATTTATCTTTGAAATGTGTTTCCATTAAAAATCAGTCATCTCTTAAATTTACATAATTAAAACTTCTTTCCGTCCCATTATTTCTACCTATTCTACAGAAGCTCCACGAGCTTATAGAAATGAACATGATATAAATGCATGCTAAATTCCTGATATAAATTATCTACACCTATTAGCTTTTATAAGAATATAACATAAATGACTAAACAAGACCAGATAATTAAACACGGCATTATTTTACTATATACATTTTTTTCATGTCACTGTTTTGTATGCGTTCCTAATTTTGATTCGTTGATTTTACCCTGTAGGCGGTACTTTAACTTAAAAAAAAGATGGATACCATCTAATTCATCGATCAGTATCACAGCTTGTGTGATTAATTCGATGTGTCTTAACTGATAAACTGTAATGGTTAAAGTCATCTCTAAGGCCGTATGTTTGTCGAAGCGTTACTAATTTGGAGTTTCAATGGAAAATTAAGCATTATGTATGCATATTGAACAGTTAAAATTGATTGATGACAGAAATTATTTAGGAAATAAATGTGGTGTCGTTTTTACAATTTCGGTGATACATCAAAATACATCTGTTAGATTGTACAGATACTATGTCAGTATTTCCCTATGGTGAAACACTTTTACTAATGTGTGGTGTTGTATCTAACTGTATTACCGACAATGTTCAATCATCACAGAATTAATAATCAGCAGTAACACTAAAGCTGGTGGTTCATGTAATACATCTTATCAAATATAGTTACAAAACCATTTCAATAGTAAGCATTATAAAATGCAGTAATATAGTTCGTCTCGAACACAATATATCGTTAAGAATCTAAATAAAGTTTATATCAATATCATCAAATGAAACAAATAAAACGATTTTCTATAAAAGATCAAAGGCGTGAATATGGAAATATACATTGCATGATGCACCATATCTTACAGCGATATGAATAGGCTTTCCGATGCAGATGTTTAATCTAATATTATATCGCTGTATTGTTATGATCATCAACATAATTGGATGCAAGTGATGCATCATGGCCGAATTAGTGTCAGTCAAAACAGGAGGGGGTACATTATTCTATTGTTCTAGTTCGACCTCATTAACGATTATTAGATTAGTATCATATATAAAATATATTTATAATAAGGAATGTGAACAATGAATTTATTTAATGTTTCATAATACAATGCCATATACCTGATACTATATAGCACATTGATATAAATATATAAATATATTATATAAATCCCTTTTCTATTACAGATACAAGTACAAAAACACAAGGTAGCAGTTGGAGTTATCATGGTAATTCAGGTACGAAAGTTAAAGCTACCTCTCATGTACATTAGACGAAATAAGATAATACGAATCGGAGGTGATGGATATAAGCACTGAGGTCTCCTGACTAATATACCGGTGTCAATGACTTTACAAGATTCAGTGTATAGTGAGGAGTATTCAAGAACGAAACATGTAACTTGACGTTGTAAATACATGTATGATAATACCAGTGACACTCTAAAGATAATTCATCAGAATACATGTCTAATGAAATGGTTCAATTTTATTTACAAATGAAGCAATATATTTAAAAATGGAATATTGGTCCAATTTTTAAAGAACTTGCAACCACATTGTCTGCTTAACCATACTAATATATAACTTTATAATTGATTGAACTTATTGTTGTTGTTTTGTTTCTACAGAACCAAATAACTGGCATAAGTCGTACCCCACGTGCAGCGGTAATAAACAATCGCCAATTAATATCAAGACAGAGGAAGTCCTTCCCGTCAATTGGTTGAAGCCTTTCGTTTACTATAATTATCCATCTGATTCAGCCAATCAAGTAGCAGCTACACTTGTGAACAATGGTCACACAGGTATATATCCTAAATAGTCCATTGTGTTTATAGATATGTACAAGCGTTATGCCACTGTCGTCTAATACGATGGACAGTTGAGACATGACAGATTTGCAATCAGACTACAACCACAGTATAAATGTCTTAAATATAAATATAATTGATAGTATGGCAACTACCTTGTCAATATGTTTACAGGGATATCTTACAATACTTACTGTTGCAACAACGTCATACATGTACATATACCATAGTACCTTGATATTGAAACGTCAGCGTGCCAAATAATTGGTAATTTGTTTCTTGTAAGCGATATGTTACTAAAATGACAGATGTTTTGCATCTTTGAAAAAATGATATATGTTTTAATGCATTTATATGATTTATGGTAGATTTCGTATATTTTGTAATTATTAAATAATATCCTTTCGTACAAACGTGTTAGTGAAGATTATAAATCTTTTATTCACACAGCGAGTCTGGCCCTGGCCTCCAAGTGGTATGTAGGGGGAGGTAACCTAAAGGAGCGGTACCAGGCGGCGGAGGTTCATTTCCACTGGGGTGCGACGGACGAAGGCGGGGCAGAACACAGTGTCAACGGCTACAAACATGCTATGGAGGCAAGTAGGATAGTCCAGGACACACACAATGACATGCATCTGGAATCTAGGATGAAATGCCATTCGTGTTTCGTTAAAACATCTGACATTTGATGTATACATAATTTGTAGCTGTTTTGTACATGATATATATACTGACTGTTTGATGACATGCTCGAAAAACATCATGACATTAGTCGAATGCTTATTATTCGCCACTTGTACAGTCCTCTTGAGTGAATAGTCACCTAGCACAACATGGATGATTCACTTTTTCATTCTTCCTTTCAAACTTATTTTGTATAGAATCAACGATTGCACATATTTCAAACAATTGTTAGAATATTTCATTAATGTTTACATTGTAGTTACCAGGTGAAAAATTAAACATCAAAACATTAAATAATATAGCATATAGTTTCAGTAAGCACAAGTGTAACGTATATAAAATGTAACGGGGACTTGCTAATTTTTTAACTAATTTGTAAGGGTTATCCTATAAAGTCCATTGTTTACTTTTAATAGAAGCATTTCATGCATTGAGTGTCCAACGCTCAATAGGTGGTGTTATCTGTAGTTAATCGATGATTTATAAACGTACTGTAAATTATTAACAAAATATAGGATACGTATATATTATAGATTTTCATATTTTGCTATATTAATTTCAGCATAATACAATAAAAAAAAACCAGACATATGTAATTTAAACTGAAGTTTTCAGGATGAAATGATTGTATTCTATACAAACACAGTTCGTCTTCGAATATTTATCATATTAAAAAACATAATATGCCTTGCAAAATACTTTAATAACTCATTCGCTGAGAATTGTTGCCGTTCATGTGTTAGCTGCCGGCGAGTCACTTTGGAACCGCACCCTATCAACCACGGCATTAATCATTCCAATCATCTACAGACGGAACAGTAGAACACGTATCTGTAGACAACATACAGAGTAAACTAATTCATTCTGAATGTCTTGCAGATAATAGTCAAAAGAAAGGCATTAAAATGATATGCAGACAAATCATGTGAATACGCGAGGGATCTCGTCCTACCTGGTACCATTTCGTTATTGCATACATTAATATCAACACATTGTTAGCCTTGTCACTCAACAGCGCAAAATATTAAATGTGTGTCTGTAGTGTAGTGTAAAGTGGGGCGTAGATCGTGCTACAGGTAATGTGGGGTTTTATTATTTCAGAAAGTAAAAATAGTATAATGTTGCGTAATATGTCATTTGCATACACTATCAAATTAATTCGTAATATCCGGAATATTATTAAGGGAATTTAAATACTACAGCTGATTTATCGTGGTTCCATACGTTTTCCTCTTAGGAATGAACATCCCACTATGTCATACCTAATAAAAAAACTGTAAGCGTGCCAGTTAAATAAATACATAACGTAACTTGACCAAGTGTACTGGTTTACATGGACACGGTTTGGTGACTCCAATATGTTACATTAAAACGTTGCAGAGGTTTTACTTCAGTATGACGTTGTAAGGGTATATTGACCTTGTTGTGCCATGATAATGATGGGAACGATCCCGTAAAACAGTTGATTTTCTGTGTTAAGTAGTTAAAGCAATACAATTAAAATCGATATCCATAAAATGGATCGCTGAATAGTTGAATGCGACTGTGCATGTATATACAAAGCAGTTACAAGCATGTACAATTGAATTAAAATGCAACTAAATAAATCATTTAACAAAAAAAACACATTTTTTTGCAACCTTACTGCGGGTCACATAATCTTGAAAACTTAATAGCACAAGTTAATTGCACAAATTTAAACAATGAAGACAGTGTTACATGATTAGTATTATATCCTTTATACAAAATTCATACCATAGTTCTTCCCATGTAGTCTGCTGATAAAGTAGAATAAAGGCGACATGTGAAACAAAGCTGATACAGCGTTTGTCTTAAGGAATTTGCATTGAATTTGTTATAGAAGTCCTTGTTAGTTAATGAGTGTCATTAGGATTGTTTTAGAGTCGGACTTAAATAAATGTTTTTTTTTATTTCAGGTTCAAATGATTTTCTTCGCTACCAAATACGGAAATATGACGAATGCTATCAGACACCATGACGGACTGGCAAGCATTGCCGTCTTTGCCGATGTAAGTGTTGCTGATGAAACTACTTTCCCTTGAGCGGAATCGTGTAAAACTTAACATAACTACATTATTATACTACAATGATTAAGGCGACCGGATATCTTATCAGTTAATTTCACAATTGCCCACTGCGCTCTCCCTTTGAATTCGGTAAGCTAAATTAAACTACCTGAAACAGCCCAATTTGATTGATTGACTGAGCATAAACATCTGTGGTATTAGGGTATCTGTTGCAGTAATGAAATAAAACACAAACAAAAACCATGCTCACATCTCTGTAATAGCCAATGAAAGATTGTTAAAAGTGTACTTTATATTGTGGATCATAATATAAGCTACACGTATATATACCTGCATTCTCTCAGGCAACGCTCTCGATGTAGAAGAGAACTGTCTTCACCTTTTATTTTTCTTGATATCTTATTCTTAAATTTTCTATTGAACCTGATGAAATAATTTTTGTTTCAGGTTTCGCCCGAAGATAATCCTATATTTGAAGACCTTATTGGATCGCTTCATACAGTATCCGAAAATGGTAACTTGGCGAATACAACAGAGATAACGCTAGACTCATTAGTTTATAACAATTACACTTTAATTAGGAAACAGTGGATGATTATCAAACAAGGGGTATCGAAATACTTTTGCGCTATATTGCTTGAGGAATTTAAAAATGTTTGAAATACTGTCGTAGGAAATGTTTTAGTCCGTTGATATGAAAAAGACCATAACGACTTTGTTAGTAATAAACAGTACATACAGGGCAATTTAGAGCAGTAACATGTTTACTTTACTTGGTGTTCTGCATCTTCAAACAAGAAATTAATAATAGGCACCTGCTTTCTACATTTATCTTGTGGTAGTTTTAGTGCAAAGTAAAATCTTCTCGGATTCTTACAATATGATTATGTTTACAGGGAAGACCTCTGACCTGCTTTCTTTCCGGCTGACGGATTTCCTGCCACGAGACTCCCAAACGTTCTATCACTATATGGGCAGTTTGACCACCCCACCATGTCATGAGAGCGTCATGTGGTATGTCATGAGGGACCACATCTCGCTGTCCAGTCGACAGGTATGATGATATATACAGGAAAATTTTAAAATGAGATTATTTATTCTTGTCTTTCAAAAAGGACAGTTAAACTCATATGGTAACAGATTATTACGAGGTAGGGGAACACTCTGCTCGTTTTTGAAGTTCTTATTATTGTCGACAATCTATTAAGCACACATTTACTTTCCGAACCGTCAACAATTCAACGAATACACATCAACAACATAAGAACTATACTTAAGATGACGTTGTACAAAATGTGAAGTTGCGAAAGGTCAAAGTTAAATAATGCCTGTGGCATATGTCTTTTGTAAAGGAAAAATGCTCCTACGTTTAACAGCCACATAATCGTTAAGGAAGTCATTATCAGTTTTAAGATATTGATACATTTATATGTATACATATATGTATAAGTGTTTTTATATTTACTTAATTGTCTATATACTATCAAGGAATGAACTTGTACGCACGATTTCCGATGTTTCAAGTTCATCAACCTGTTATATGCTAATTAAGATGTTTTTCGTGTTATTTCTTTGTTAAATTTGACTTTTTGACTTAAATACAAATCGAAATACCATTCGCAAATGATTCATTCAATAATTAACGCAGTTTTTGTAATGAGAATTGAACTCCGAAAGAAAACCTAAACTCAACTCGAGAATTTTCACGAAAGTGCAATTTTATTTCAGGTTGATGCTTTCCGGTCACTCAATACTGGTGTCATTGGGGCGGAATCAAATACAGTGGAAAGGATCAGAGACAATGTTCGACCAGTTCAGCCTCTCTTTGGTAGAAAAGTATACAGCAGCAAACGCCCCCTTACAGTGCCTCCACTAAGTGCATTTACAAAACACTTAATAAAAAAGAGAGCAGTATCGGGGGCAATAAGACCACAGTTCAAGTTGTCTGGTAGAATCAGCAGCCCGTTCAGTTTTGCTAGAGGAAGGAAATCAATGAGAAGAATTGCACCAGCAGTAGTAGAGGAAAGAGCGCCGCTTAGTGTTGGTCATTTCTTTGGTCAAAAGAAGTCGGTATCATCTATGAACACACAGGTTCAGCCAATAGCCAACATCAATCAAAAGTCTTCACACACTAATCACATAATCGAACCTGCCGCCGGTAGTGGCGGCGCTCCTGCATGGAAATCACCGCCGTCATCAGCAGGTACCGCCTCTAAGAGCAACTGGGCGTGGCCTGAGACAAAGACAGCGGGATCATGGTCACCTGGAAAAAAGGAGCCCAACGTCCCTCCACCTCCGCCAACAGAATTGTCAACAACAACAACCAGCAACTTCGAATTACAATTCAAAAATGCAAATGCAAACAACAAAATAAATACACAAGATCTGACAGGCAATGTCCAATTTGGTGCAGTTCAAGGAATTTCTGTTCAGCCATCTGAAGGATCTGCAAGAGGCAATAGCATCAGTAACACTCCAAAAATAGGAGGCACACCAAATGCACCACACATGCAATTTGCAGTACAGCCTGAAGTGCAAGTGTCGAAGATTGGAGGGGCAGAAACTCGACCGACGACAGCAGCCCGTGCCAATCCAACAATGTCCGTAACAGTACCTGCTGCTGAAACAACTTTGTCGCCGATAACACCTGACCCATCCTTGGTTAAAGATACTAGAATCCCTACGGCAGCGACTCTACGAGTAGAGAGACAACGCATTGTTTATCCCACAACAGTGAGTCCAATCAATGCCCACCAGACATGGCCAATTACTGCAGCCGCCCCTACGAATGGAATTCCAGTCAAAACACCTCAACAGCAACCCCGTAGGTGGTCTGCCCGGCAGAATGAACCAGTAGCACCTGCAGAGCCAGCATCACAAAGCATTCCAATACATGACCCCACATTTGTTCCGCCTACAACTGCACAAACGCCACAAACAACAACACGCGCATGGCAATCCCGCGTGTCCGAGCCAGCTATACAAGAAACACCTCAACGTTTGTGGCAATCTGGAGTGGCTGATCTGACAAAAGATCAGCAACCAAATGGAAACAGGTGGCAGGCAAGTGCTTCACAGTCATCTTGGCAATCAGGGGGTTCTCAGGTGTCAGGATCGGTTCAGCAGAAGACATGGAATTCACCAGGGTCAAGGGGATGGCAATCTCGTTTTAGACAACCGGCACCAGCACTCACACAAAAGACTCCGTCTAAAAAGGAGTGGCAACCAATCGCATCTAACCCGACAACCAAAAACCAGGGCAACGCAGCCGCGAGCAGCGTGCCTAGAGAACGACAATCAGTCTGGAAAAACGATCGGAACTGGCAGAATAAAGCACAAGTACCAACTGTTTCACGACCACAAAATACAGCAAACAAGTGGGAAGCAAAAGCGCGGACACCTGCAGCAACCCAGGCCGCTCCACAACCGTCACCAACACCATCAGGTTTGCCTAACAATTCGACAATAGAAGACGCCGTTGGATGGTTTGTTGCTCAATTAAAAAGTGGCGCATTCCAATCAAGACACCAGCAGCTGTGGGATCTACTTGAATCAGCTATAACGCAATATAAGAAAGACACAGCAAAACCTGGCATGAAGCAAAAAATAAGTGAACTAAATGCGAAATTGCAAAAGCTTGGAGGTAGATTGAGAAATTCAGTAACACTTGCTCCGAATCCACAAACATATAGCCAGCACCAAAATGGACAATCACCATTTGTGTCTTCTCCAGAAAGTCCCCAAGAAGCACAACCCGTTGGTTCCTACGTTCAACCCGGGCACCAACATCCTCAACAAGCGAGAGGATTCCAGTACCATGAAGTACCACCACAGCGATCAGCACATCGGAAGCACGACCCTCCACGCTCTCGTTATAACCAGGACGTAAAGTCAGTAAACTCAATGAATAAAATCGATCGAGGGGTAAATGCAGGCTCAGTTTTGCTTAGCAATCTTCACGGGAAGAATTCACCAGACATTATAACAGTGCCTCAAGATATCACTGTGTTCACGCCGGTGAATGGCGGAATTCCAGACGCAACACCCGTTCCAAATCACCAGACATTGTCGAGCTCAATTAATAACCCCCAACAAAAACACTTGTCTAGAAATGCTGAATTCAACGTTGCACAACCTAACCAGGTGCAACAACATCAACAGGGATTTGAACCTAATGCAGCTGAGAACTTGCCTATCACTACAACATTCGAGCAAATAACAACAATGGCTACACCTACAACTACTATCAAAGTCTTCAGGAAAAAACCAACGTTTTCCGTTGGAAATAGTAAAACTGCTAGTAGTTTCAAAATGTCAGGAGGAAGTCGATTTTCTGCAAAATCGTTTTCTGCTCATAAAGCGAAATCGTCGTTATCCTTTTCTCCGAAAAGGATTGGTACTTGGTCGGATCCTGCTGCTAAATTAAAAGAACAGCTTCATTTACGACAAGAACAACAACGAATTCAGGAACAAAAGGAACAAGAGAGATTACAGCTAGAACAGCAACGTCAGGAACAATTAAGATTACAACAGGAACAGCAACGTCAAGAACAATTAATATTGGAACAGGAACAGCAACGTCAGGAACAATTAAGATTGCAGCAGGAACAGCAACGTCAAGAACAATTAAGATTGCAGCAGGAACAGCAACATCAAGAGCAATTACGAATACAGCAGGAACAGCAACGTCAAGCACTATTAAGATCACAATCTCAACAACAAAGTTTCCAAAGTCAACAGCAACAACATATGTTTAATCCTACAAATAATCCTTTTGAACCACAGCAACAATTCCAACAAAATCATAATCAGATGCAGCAATCACAGCAACCACAGCATCATCAACAACCAAATTTTCAACACCAACAACAGCTTCAGCCACAGGAAATTCAACAACAACAACAACAACAACAACAACAACAACAACAACAACTTCAGCAACAGCAAATTCAACAACAACAACTTCAGGAACAACAACAACAACAACAACAACTTCAGCAACAGCAACTTGAACAACAACAACTTCAGCAACAGCAACTTGAACAACAACAACTTCAGAAGCAACAACAACAACAACTGCTTCAGCAACAACAACGTCAACAACAACAATTTCAGCAGCAGCAACAACAACAACCACAATCGCATCAGCAACATCAATTTCAACAACAGCAGCAAAAACCACAACAACATCAACAGCAGCAACAGCAACAACCACCACACCAGCAACAACAAGCAAATCAGCAACAACAACAACAACAACATCAACAACAACAACACCACCTCCAACAACAACAACAACAACAACAACAACAACAACAACAACAACAACAACAACAACAACATCACCAGCAAACTCATTTTAACCCGATGGAATCTTTCCAAATTCAACCGCAGCAGATTCAGTCCCAACAGATTCAGCCACCACAACAGGCATTCGTCGACGCACAGGCTGCTAGCCCCGGGCAGCCATTTGGCTCGAGAAGTGGAGTCAACGTTCCTCCGTCTGCACATGGATCGATTTTGGATCAGGCCCTGGGTGTTAACCCGTCACAACCTATACCAAAGGTCAATTACGGTGCAAATGCTAATGCTAATAGCATCATTCCAAACAATGGTCCAGCAGTCGTTCCGATTGGTCAACCCCAGGCAAATCCTTGGGCTCCAAGTGCTTGGGTTGATCCTATTCCTGGTGGTCCACAATCTCCAGGATCAGCTGGACCACCAGCTGGTAGCATGCCAATGCAGTCACAGCACTCCCCTTTCAACCCATTTGGAGCACAAAATCCGTTCCAACAGCCTGAAGTACATGCAGTACCTCGGCAAGAGTTCATGCAGACGCCAACCAAGGTCGCCAAAGCTCCAGGCTTCCGCGGCAGAGTCCAGAGTACGGCTTCAGTTTTGCAAGCTGGTCACCAGCAAATGCACGCAAAGGCTTTCGTTAGACCACCGCCAACAACTCTGCCCCCAGTTACGAAAGCTGCGAACTTCTGGAATCAGCAAGTGGTCACGCAGCAGGTACCGACTACAATTGTTACACAACTGACGTACAGACCGACCACTTTCGCCCCACCAGTCACCAAGGCTCCTTCAATGCCTTCCCGATGGGCAGCTATGGGGCCGCAATCAATGCCACCCAGACAACCCACAGCACCTGTCACAAAATTATTCAAACCTGCTCCATCTGCTAAGCCAAAGCCAAAGCCTCGACCTAAACCTAAGGCTAAGGCAAAGAAAGCAAAATCCAAAAGGTAAAACATCAGCACGGTTAACTGTCAGATATTGTCCTGTATGCTGCATAGACTTCAATAGATAGATAAGGTTTAGGTCAGCATGCCATGTAGTTTTTATTGCTGAGATCAACTTTTTACCTGTATTTATATTGCCTTCAAGAGGGTAGATAAGGTATTGATCAGCATGTTATGTACTCTTTACTGACTAGATTAGATATTGACCTACATGTATATGCTGCATAACTTGTAAAATGGGATCAGGCATCGACCTGCATGCTGCATACAGCATTCTTAAGTTAGATAAGGAATTGATCAGCATGTTATGTACTCTTTACTGACTAGATTAGATATTGACCTACAGTTAGATAAGGAATTGGAAAGCATGCCATGAAGCCTTATGTCATTTTTACAAAAGGAAAATCTGGAATTTTATTTTGATTGAGAAACACATTTTTCGTTTTTTTGAAATACGGACTTAAATGGCCGCTTATAAAGAAAGTATTTTTTTCTAAATAAATGTATTTCTATTTCATTGGAGTAACAGTTTATAATATCTTACCTAGTGGTACATTCATCTTTATCATTGCGTACGATTCCGACATGTCCAGAGATTTAGTATAACAGGAACTTACATTTTGGTTTTGCATAGCAGCAATCAGAACAAAATAATGAAGATTTTGTATTGCTAAAGTGTTCATATGAACTATAGAGATACAGAGAAAGATGGCTTTATATGTCTAACATCATCATCACAAATACGGTACAGCCACTGTGCTGTCAGTTGAAATATTATGGAAAACGGTAAGGAACTGGAAATTGTGAGTACTTTAAGTGGTTTTATTATACCATAGTTGTCCGAAGTTTTAAATGCTTACTTAAAATTCTTATTTAAAAAAGATATTAAGTAAATTTCTTTACTTTTCAGGAGACAAAGGAAACGGTATGGCTTCTCAAAATTACGTAAGTACCTAACACTGGCAAAGTAATTTATTAATAATGATCTTTCACTAACGAATGCGACGTTATCTCTCCTTCTTCGATAATTTATGTTGTCTTATAATAGTTGTTTTTAGTTTGTGAACATCCGTTATTATTATGGTCTTTTTAAAATCAATTACCATTTTGGAAAATGATGACGTGACAGTATTGTTACACACGCCAATATAACGTTTATTTTGAATTTATGCATAAACGAATTTATCAACTTCACAGAAAAAAACAAGTTCCCAATTTATACAATTTGTGAACATGTAATTTTCTTCGGTCATTCACTAATTTCTGTTTATGATTATAGTTGCAGGATATGGGCCAAGGCTGAACGTGGCAGGCTAAACGTTGCTTAGTTACGCGGGGAAATATTGAAGACGCCATTTTGAATGTGGTAGGAGGTCCTCTCCTTATTGAAGTGGGAAATTATCACGTACCAGTTCCAACGGCAATAAGTAGGATAAATCAATTACAATTCGGACTTAGCTAAAAAAACAGTGTTTACATCAGGCAATACAAACTGTAACACGCAAACTTGATATGGTGGCTACGACTAAGTCGTGGAAATCATGCACAGTTGCATTTTTCTAAATAAGAATTGTATGTACTGTTCGATATGATAATCTTCAAAGGATGTTATTAATATTTGACAACTTTGTTAAAGCGCGAAAATGTTATATTTATAAAAAATGGCTAATTGCACCTTTGTATTAAATGGATCAATTAATTATTCCCGAAACACATTAAAATCTGCTACGGCAGCATAATTATGTATCATGTTCATGATTTACCTCTGTTCCTTAGGACAATCATTCTACTGTATCTTTCATGAATACTCTTGTCAACAACTTGCTACATGATAGTTATCGAGGTGTTAGAAGTTGATCCTCTTGGAATTCATGATCCTAGAAAGGACTCACTAATGGCGAGGTCAGGGGAAGAGAGATGGCAACCTGTTTGCTGCAGATCTTACGTGTTTCTACTCGACAGAGGGCTGAAAACCGAGAGTCGGTTAAAATGGACAAGTTATATAAACTTGTTTCCGGATTCCGGTCGCCATTCTGGCAATTACCACAGACAAAGTGATGAATCAAATCATATATCATTTGTACAAATCTCCTTTGTTCATTAATATCGTCATTCAATTTATCAATTTTGTCAGGATTAAAGCAACCTGTGGTTCGTGTAAATAAACTTATGCAAAATATATTCAAATATTTGTCTGTTACATAGTTCTTTGAGAAGTTTGACATAATTTCATGAAAAAGGAGTGATACAATGTACCGATTGATGTTGAAAAAAGTTATATTTGAAGTTCCCAAGTTTAATAAATGTTGCACCTTATACATAGTCGGACGGAGGAGTTCACATCAAAACACCCAGGTCCGTACCTTATTCTTCTATAAGACGACATAATGAACTTACCATACACTTCAACTTCCAACTAGACCTTCAGACGATTACGACTGCTAGTATGGGTATAATGGGTGTTGTTGAATGAGATGTAGGCTGAGGAACAGTCTCCACCCAGGTTCTGCGATTGTCAGTGGCGTAAACAAATGTTAATAACTAATAGAAAATATAACCAGTCAATATTTTATGGGGTTTCTAGATAACAGTGAGAGATAAGGGCCAGTCTAAGGGGACGTCTCGCTCAAATACCATCTTGTTACATTATTCTGACGACGAGCTAACTAGAGGTGCCCAAAGAGACTAAAGAAAACAACGGTAAGATAAACAAAACAAATTGGAGCAACACAATAATGTATTCTCCAGAACGTCACAACGAAGAGAGTATACCAGAAACCACAATTAAAATTATGATAATCACGATTTTCTAACATCTATTCATTCAGATAGAGATATATCCGACTTTTCCTTCATTACAAGCAGGAGAATACTTGTAGTTGGAGTCAGGTTGCGCTCCTTGCTTAGGTTTTATAATGTAGCTACAGTTTAGGGCAACGAAATATTATCTATGATTATAATGAGCAATGGTAAGTCCAAAAGCATGTGAACAAATGTTGGGTTTTTTACTGATCAATTATGATCAACAAGATTTGAAAATCAATTATCATATAATAATGCATAATAAGATTATCAATTTTAACATAAAGTGATTACAAATGATCGAATCAAGGGGTGTGCCACCGAAATGTTATAACACTGACAAGGGAGCATACCAACTCATCTGGTTTAAAGTATTCCAGCGGAATACAGGGAGAGACAGAGCCGAAGAGATACAGGGAGAGACAGAGCCGAACAGATACAGGGAGAAACACAGTCGAACAGATACAGGGAGAGGCAGAGCCGAACAGATACAGGGATAGGCAGAGCCGAACAGATACCTTAGGGAGAAACACCGCCGAACAGATACAGGGAGAGGCAGAGCCGAACAGATACAGGGAGAAACACAGCCGAAGAGATACAGGGAGAGACAGAGCCGAAGAGATACAGGGAGAGACAGAGCCGAACAGATACAGGGAGAAACACAGTCGAACAGATACAGGGAGAGGCAGAGCCGAACAGATACAGGGATAGGCAGAGCCGAACAGATACCTTAGGGAGAAACACAGCCAAACAGATACAGGGGGAGGCAGAGCCGAACAGATACAGGGAGAAACACAGCCGAACAGATACAGGGAGAGACAGAGCCGAACAGATACCTTAGGGAGAAACACAGCCGAACAGATACAGGGAGAGGCAAAGCCGAATAGATACAGGGAGAAACACAGCCGAACAGATACAGGGAGAGACAGAGCCGAACAGATACCTTAGGGAGACACATTTGGATAGATATCTTGGAGAAACACATATAAATAGATTCCTAAGATAGACGCAGTAACAGAAACCTTTGGATAAAATAGTCGAACAGATATCTAGAGAGATACAGTAGAACGAACGGAGCAGACGAGAGAGTCCTAAGTGTTGTAGTGGGAAACTGGAAGGATCACACGAATTGTGTTGTCTTGCTTGTCGTCCAAATGAGGGTGCAGAAGGAGACCGCCACCAACACACTTCGGTTCGAGAAATCAAATGATCTGTTAAAGGTGTTAAAACGAAACTTTTATTCATTTTACACTGTTTTAAAGTTTAAATATATTTCGTGTTTCACTCATGTCTTGTATTTTAATTCGTAAAGGTTCGGGGCATTAGCCACGAGTTTGGCTGCTTGTGTATCCCTCTTTGACTTGTTGTCTCTAGTAATCATTGGCCAATTATATCTGCATTGTCTCTTGAAGACATGAATGCGACCAGACTTGATTAACATAATGTATCTCATTGTCTCTATCATCCTCTCGTCTTCAATAGGATTTATTTACTATGTGCAACTGGTTAACGCGCTATCAAAATACTGTAAACGTACCAAATCTAGCGGTAGTCTTAGTTAAGCGCCTTTCATTTTTTAAACATTGCGCTTAATTATGATTGCGATAATTGAAGCTCCTGTATTCCGTCTTTGCGTATTACAGAGTTATCTTCTCTTGGGAGCAGGGATTGATTGTTACGTCATTGGTTTGTGTGAGAAAATAACGTCGTTTTCTCATAGATTGATGACGTTACTCTCACAAACAAATGACGTAAAAATCAATACCTGCTCTCAAGAGAAGATAACTCTGCAATACGCAAAAACGGAATATTGTATTCTGTTGCATTTCTTTGTACTCTTACAGTAATGTGATTAAAAGCAATCTCTTGGTACATTTTCCAGGCGTTAAAACGAGCCTTTGAGTGTGTACAGCTGATGAGGCTATTACAAGGCCACTTCTACAGTGTTATCGTATTACATTATTATAACTTTGATACTGTAGCAGGACGTTCCACTTAGTCACCCATGCAGAAGATACAGAAGAACACTCAAACGTTTGTCAATACATAATTTACCCTATAATACCAAGCAGTTTGATGTAGGTACAAGTGTAGGCCTATCATCGGTAGTCTAGAGCCCGGTGTCGTATGACTATAGATTTGACGAAGACGTAACACACTTACCATTCAATCAATTGCTAAACGTTTGTTTTTCTTCCTTAGCGTTCCCTGTATATTGTTCCTAGATTGCATATAGTAATTCCGTTTATGACGCAGCAAAGGGAGAGGTTGCGGTAAGGGGCGTTTTTAGGTCAATGACAGAGATGTATACGTACATATGTAAATGTTTATTTGTTTCTGAGACATGGCAAACGGCAGAAATCATGAAAACAGTAAAAAGAAAGATTGTTCTGATGGGTCCATTTGCAAGAAATGAGGGGTTTAAATACCATTGGATATCTTGTTAAAATGATTGGACTAATTGAGAAAAAAAAACTGTAAGAGGTAATGGACCATGGAGCAACCTAAACGAACGCGCTGAAGATACATGCATGTCCAATACAAGGTTTATTTGCTGTTGTATAGCGACAAGGCTAGATATAAACATGCATACAATTATTTGCGCTATTATTCAAGTAAAGTCGTTGACCGAGGACGATCCTGTACTTGGATTTATCCACCCAAGAAACGATAGATTGACTCCATCCTCGTTCTCTGTCAATTTATTTTTCAACGGGTCGATAAATCCTGGTATCAACCGAAGTTAAAAATTACAATTGTTTTATTATTTTTAAAACAGTAATGTAAGAAATCTGAAAAAAAACTACAACAGAAATGCTTTGGGGGCACGTCTAAATATTATTTTGAGAAACACACAGTCCTTTAACAAAAATCACGCGCTCCTAGTCAATGTCGGCTTTTATCGGTGGACATGTGATGCACTTCTAATGTCTTGTCGAGAATAATATAAAAAAACACTTTTTTTTCATGTGAGATACTGTCTCTCTGAGCCATTTACAAAATGTAACAAACATAAAATGATAAAGTAAAAACACACACATGATTATATACACGTATATACGTATATATTATAGACCATGACACAGATCTACTTTATAGATCGGGATATAAAACGGCAGTAATTAGTGTAAATATATAAAATAAAATAATCAACCTTTCCATAATAAAACTGTCGATGAGTTTTATATGAATACATAAAATGTTCTATTTTTAGATCACAATAACACAAGGTATGGGAATCAACTTCATTTCAGTTCTTATTTCCAAGTCAAATTAAGGATGATTTACAGTCGCGTGTGTGGTCAATATGTTCACTGAACCAAATCACACCAGAGAACTCTGCTAGTTTGTTGCCAAAATATGAAAAAGACATGTTGTTGTTGTAATAGATCATCTATTAAAATGTGTAAGTTTTCTAACATTTACCAAAATCTCAAAAACCTTTTCCAGATCGAAATTAAAGTATGATATTATAGACAAAAATTTAACTAATGCCTAAAGACAACTCAAAATGAAAAAAGAAAGGCAACTTGCGATATTTTCCAATCACAATGACTGTGAATACACTACTGTGAAGGTATGTCAAGGTAACCTGATTGATTCTTGATTGTCTAGACCGATATTCAAGAAGTCACCCTAATGCTGATCTCTCTCTTGCATACTATCATTGTGGTGTTGATTTTTCTCTCCAAATCTTATAAATAATATGTTAGGAAGATTATCAGCGTTTGAAGTCAATACTTCTCTTTTCCCCGTCGAGACCTGATTGTGACGTTATATCTCACTGTTGCCATGGTTTATTACCGTTCTAATGCTGTAGTTCAAAGTGACAAACCATCACAGACTTCTCCTCAGTTACACACACGGAGTAGACTTTTGTTATAAATCTTAACCGATCAAATCATGTGATAAATACTTTATTCCATATCACCAAAAATGCACGTAGATACTATTTATTGAAATCACATTAACTAAATTATCTGTTTATATCTCACTTACGTACATATTGCTGCTAACAACTGTTGGCCTAGTTCAGTCACGTACATGTAACGATTATTAATCAACTGTATTCGGTACATTACGTTACATGAACAATAAACTATTTCACTAAACAAAATATTACTTTTATTCAATGCCCCTTTAAAATGTACTTCCTCCAGGTATACCTAGCTTCTAATAAGTAAATTAACAGTATTCATACAGGTGTTCTTCCTTCAGGTACACCTAGCGTGTAACCAGTACAAATACATTACTATTCATTAACAATATTTACAATACATTTATATAACAATGTATCGTTCAGTTACAAACCTGTAGTTACTATTTCGTTAACAGATACTAGTTCTAATAAGTCATCACTACATACATAACACGTGGCCACTTTTAAGTAAATAATTGTATGTATTTGATAAAGCTTTCAAAATATAATTTGGTAAAAGAGAAAATATGCTAAATACTGAATTGCAGATATAAACCTACATCTTTAATTGATATTGAGGTAGAAAGATACAGAAATATACTAGCATAGGACTGTTATCTAATTATAAAATATCCTTATGTAATCCAGTCCTTCGTTCATGTGATAAGAGTTTCTCGTTCAAGTCATAAGAGTTTCTATAGTGTCTGAAACCCAACCTTTTCTCCTAAAAATGCCCTTTGTCTCAAGGCATATACTTTGTGAAAGAAAATAAAAGTCGAATTACCATTTATATGTGACGATCAAATTATTAACATAATACAATTACTTTGTATACCTTTTACTCTTCACATTAAACAGGATAACGTACACAGTAAGTAGTGATAACGCACACAGTAAGTAGTGATAACGTACACAGTAAGTAGTGATAACGTACACAGTAAGTAGTGATAACGCACACAGTAAGTAGTGATGACGTACACAGTAAGTAATGATAACGTACACAGTAAGTAGTGATAACGTACACAGTAAGTAGTGATAACGCACACAGTAAGTAGTGATAACGTACACAGTAAGTAATGATAACGTACACAGTAAGTAGCGATAACGTACACAGTAAGTAGTGATAACGCACACAGTAAGTAGTGATAACGTACACAGTAAGTAGTGATAACCGCGTTCGGTCCTTATCCGTGTGAATTAAAGCACATGGTACTAGAACATAGATATTTAGACTTGCATCAAGGTCGTGAGGTAAACATTACCAGTCATCAATGGCGATTAGTATTGTGTTAATGTGTCTGGTGCCTGTCTTGGTGTATGGCAGTGGTTATGCCTTTACCCCGCCACACTGCTGTCCTCCCAGACAATTCTCAGCCACGGTCAGCAAGACTGGAGGAACGTTAAATATTGCTGAAGGGCCAGAATCTTTTGATGTAAGTGTTCCTCATTAAAATTGACTTGGTATATAAAAAGAATTCTTCAAAATAAGGTAATGACCATGATGTAGCACGTTTAAGCATTCCATGCATAACAAGATAGTGTATCGCCAAAAATAGAAAAACATCATGAATTTGTTCTTATCCTTAACTATACTTTTAGCTTTAAAAAAACCCCCATAACATTGTGTCTGATGTAATCAATCTCAGTAACTCGGCATCACTTTTTTCACTTGCCTAGGAAACCATTCAGATCTATGTTGATCATGATGCTGGCATGCAGAGGACTTTTAATACCGGTGTTAACCCTAATGGGACCACATTTCCTTACTCAATTATCACCAACTATACCACGGTAGGTCTTTACACAAGTATCACCGACAATATCACGATACGTCTTAACACAATCACCAATTATACCACGGTAGGTCTTAACACAATCACCAACTATACCACAGTAGGTCTTAACACAATCACCGACTATACCACAGTAGGTCTATACACAAGTATCACCGACAATATCACGATAGGTCTTAACACAAGCATCAACTATACCCCGGTAGGTCTTAACACAATCACCAACTATACCACGGTAGGTCTTAACACATACACCGACTATACCACGGTAGGTCATTACACATACACCAACTATCCCACGGTAGGTCTATACAAAATCACCGACTATCCCACGGTAGGTCTATACTCAATCACCAACTATACCACCGTAGGTCTATACACAATTACCAACTATACCACGGTTGGTCTATACACAATCACCAACTATAACACGGTAGGTCTTTACACATCCACCAACTATACCACGGTAGGTCTATACACAATCACCAACTATACCACGGTAGGTCTTAACACAATCACCAACTATACCACGGTAGGTCTTTACACATACACCAACTATACCACGGTAGGTCTATACACAATCACCGACTATACCACGGTAGGTCTATACACAATCACCAACTATACCACGGTAGGTCTATACACAATCACCAACTATACCACGGTAGGTCTATACACAATCACCAACTATACCACGGTAGGTCTATAAAGAATCACCAACTATACCACGGTAGGTCTATACACAATCACCAACTATACCACGGTAGGTCTATACACAATCACCAACTATACCACGGTAGGTCTATACACAATCACCAACTATACCACGGTAGGTCTATACACAATCACCAACTATACCACGGTAGGTCTATACACAATCACCAACTATACCACGGTAGGTCTATACACAATCACCAACTATACCACGGTAGGTCTATACACAATCACCAACTATACCACGGTAGGTCTATACACAATCACCAACTATACCACGGTAGGTCTATACACAATCACCAACTATACCACGGTAGGTCTATACACAATCACCAACTATACCACGGTAGGTCTATACACAATCACCAACTATACCACGGTAGGTCTATACACAATCACCAACTATACCACGGTAGGTCTATACACAATCACCAACTATACCACGGTAGGTCTATACACAATCACCAACTATACCACGGTAGGTCTATACACAATCACCAACTATACCACGGTAGGTCTATACACAATCACCAACTATACCACGGTAGGTCTATACACAATCACCGACTATACCACGGTAGGTCTTTACACAATCACCGACTATACCACGGTAGGTCTATTCACAATCACCAACTATACCACGGTAGGTCTATACACAATCACCAACTAGACCACGGTAGGTCTTTACACAATCACCAACTATACCACGGTAGGTCTATAGACAATCCCCGACTATACCACGGTAGGTCTATACACAATCACCGACTATCCCACGGTAGGTCTATACACAATCATCAACTATACCACGGTAGGTCTATACAAAAACTCCGATCACTGTCGTACGTTTTATATTTGATGTAACTCTTGATTCTGTGTTAACTTCATATTTGATTTTATCAAAAAACATGTGCGTATGTGCAATACGGAATGTTGTATTTACCTACTAGCCGGATCTACTCGTTATGGGAATCCCATTGTCATTGCGAACTGAAAAGTTCCCGGTATTTGCAAAAAAATATCAAAGTTTATAAAATCTTTGTATCGATCTCTTCCAAATACGGAAGGTATGTGATAAAAGCAAGACCACACACTTGTGTTTTCCTAACGAATCAGACAGCACTCATTTATTGCGCGGACGTATATATTTACTCGTGCGTTCCGCGCATTCGTGAATATAATTGTTCGCGCAATAAACTCGTGTTTTCTGATTCGTTAGAAAAACACAAGTGTGTGGTCTTGCATATGTATAACAAATATATTGTACAAACGATGAAATTATTCCCTTTTATTATGTTTTGCTTTCTCTTCACATTCAGACGACAAATTACTTCCTAAAGGACGAGGATCATCACTGCCAGTCCTACGGTTCCTTTCCTGAGACATTTCTTTGTGTACCAAGTAGGTGACAAATCAATCCGAATCTGTTTTACTTTACAATAGCAGAACACATTGACCTTTCTCTGATTTATTTATTAAGTCGAATCTGTTAATATATAATGTTCCTAAGTATACTGTGTTCCTGATTTCTCTGTCAAATAAGGCTGTGATACTCGTCATTATCGTACCTGTTAAAGTCGATCCCATATTAGTTGGTAAAGTTTGGACTGGTATCACCTACTTAAGCGCTTACTGCATTTTTCGTATAATTATTTAAGTTTTGCTAATTGGTATTTTGTCATATAACAAATGCATAATTGTGGTTATATGTCAGTTGCCTGAAAATACACACTAATATCCTGTAAATTCACAATTTAACTTCGAAATATTTACTTTATACTATAAACTTTAACATTCAAGCATCGGTGTCTAACCATTGAGTTACAATCATGACTAAAACGGTCTCATTATCCGAGAGCCATTGTAGTGGTTCTCGCTTCTTGAACCAATCTACTCGACAAAGGTTTCAAAGCTTCCCTGTGCAACCCTGAAGAACCATTTTGTTCATTCAAATATTAGTAAACACAGCAATTTATAAGCGTATAATAGTCAAATACAGTCGTAGATGGTGTTCTGTTCAGTGATGTAACTTACGTTGTACTTAGTTCCATTCACCTCAAAAGAGCCTTGTGTTACGAAGATCTACAAATAGCTCGATAATCTTAATTATTGCCGGCCAAGACGGGAGCGATCCTTCTGTCAATCTATGAATTATATTAATTTGTTTTCTGAAGGTTCTTACAAGGGCAAAACATAAACAAAATCTATCAGGGAAACCAACCAATATGAGTTTGTTAACAGCACGTGTTGTGCTTAGGTTCACATTCAGACGTCCATGACATTGTTTTTTAAGTACCGCGTCTGCCAATAAGAACAGAAAACGACTTTATACAACTACTGTATGATTGTCCATACTGTCATTTCTTATCACGATATTTTGAAATATCAATGTCATGTAGTGAAAATAAAAAATTACATTGTAATAGGATTTAATAATAAAGATTTACCTTCGTTATAAAATAACTGGACATGATGTTACAGAGGAAGGTGAATACATAGGCAGACGCGTGATCGGTAGTCATGACAACAACTTCAGTATCGACGTGTGGAAAGTAAAACCTGGTCAGACAGCTGATACAATGTCATTTACTTCTGATGGTTGTCTCCCCTTCGTCAGGACACTTACAGATTTGTCCTCTACTAGTAAGTGATTTGTGACTTAGTGCTATTTTAAATCAATTATAAGCTCAGTCATTTCCATTAAAAGACTCGATTTACATATCACAAATTAATAATTAAGTAGCAATTAAATGTAACATCAATATTGTTTCCTAATTATAGTTAGCACATGTTTTCTTAGGAAGTTTTAATATATGTTGAAGTATGTGTGTGAATATATGTACCACTGTGTGTATTCCATTTTGAACTAGTATGCAAAAAAAGTCTGTAATTACTGTTTCAATATTTGACAAATAACATATACTACACCGTCAGCATATGGTTACGATCGAGCTATATTATTTAAATAGTTCGAGATCATTTCTCGTCTACAATTAGAGTTTTTGAATTTGAAACTTTGTCGTTATTTTGGTTTTAATTTCGTTTATCAGAGGACAGAGTTTTAACCGGTGGTCGAGTTGTCTACATTTTTTGTTGTTGTTGTGACGAAGTGACGTCTGTAAAAAAATTCGTCATTCACATTTGGCAACATTATTGATGCAACCCGGCCGTTTCATCTCTCGCGAACGCACACTCCTCCAGGTGTTAACATACCATTTTTAGTTAAATATATTTGTATATTTAAACATTCCTTTCACATTTGACTTACATAATACGCTTTTGCAGTGATAAGAATAAGTCATTGTCCATCGGGGATTTTGTAACATCTCAGGACATTGACATTCTTGCATTGACAGTTAGGTTCAGATATCGATGACCAGACAAAGTACTAGATTTCGGGGTTCCTCAAGGGTCTGTGTTAGGACCACGTAAATAGTGCCTGTACTCCGAACCGATTGGAGAGATTTGTCGTCGCCATAGCATGGCATGGTCATCAAACCGCAGGACAGTTGGGATGCAATTTCAGAAAATCTGGAAGCTTGTCTGACAGATATCAGTACCCGGATGAACGCCAACATGCTAAAGCTTAATCAGGAAAAGACGGAACTAATCGTCTTTTCTCCAAAGCGTCGGCAAACAATGGCTCTCCAGCTCAAGGTCGGTGCCAGAACTATTGAGACTGTCCCAGCTGTTAAAAGTCTAGGGGTATACTTTGATAGTTCACTGAACATGGCGAAACAAGTGAACGCTATTACCAAATCCTGTTACTACCAGATCAGGAACATCGGTTGTATTCGGCAGTTTATAACTGCAGATGCATGCAAGCTTTTGGTGCATTCACTTGTTACCTCTCGGTTGTGGTAACGCCCTGCTCTGTGGTATATCTGACAAACAAACTAGTCGTCTGCAGAGGGTTCAGAACACTAGAGCACGGCTGGTTGCTTGAACTCAAAAGAGAGAACACATCACACCTGTGCTATATTCATTGCTCTGGTTATCTGTACGATACAGGGCGCAGTACCATATTTTGATGTACACATGCAAGGCACTAAATGAATGGAACAGCTCTCCAGTACCTACTGGAGATTGCTACCCTGTATCAGCCGTCACGATCACTGCGGTCGGAGTCAGAATCATTGTTGTGTGTCCCAAAATCTCGTACTGTGACCTATGGAAACCGGTTCTTTTGGAGGGTTTCGGCTACGTTGTGGAATAGCTTACCATCTGCTATTAGAAAGTCAAATACCCTGGCCAAATTCAAGAAAGAGGGACATCAAAACTCACCTCTCCACGTCTGCATTTTAGGCTCTTTGCAAAGACGTCATGTAAATACCACCCTTTGTTTGTTCATTTATGTGCACATTGTGATGATTATCTGCTTGCTAATTGTATAAAAGTGAGTGTAAGCCTTTGGTTTTGTTTCACAATTATAACTAATACTAAAATCCATATGTTGTAAAGCGTTTTAGGGTAGTTTTACAAATTATATAGGGCGCTATATAAATGTTGTATATTATTATTACTATTATTATTATTATATTTGCCATCAGTACCTGTTCAGTTTCCTATATAACAACCAGACATCTATCTAACATTTAATTCAGTTAAATTATTATACATTCGTGTCATTGTATACTGTCTCTGTTGTAGAGCCCAGTCAGTCGATATTTACGTACAGTAACGTAAACACTGGAGTGCCAGACGGTATATTTAACCTCCCAACGTCATGTCAGCAGCATTAGTAATACATCATATGCTTATTCTTCATAACGTACTCATTCAAAGATTTAGACAAATGAAATGGAACAATATCGTCATTATACATCAATGTCATATTTACAGATTTGGGTGTACATGTGAAACGTCGACAACATTAAAATATATCTATAATATACTTTTTCCTTATGGTGTTTCAGGACAGTTAAAAAGCTGGCTGTTGTCCTTGGTCAAAATAATAAGTTAGCGTTCACATCATTATAACTTGATTAGCGATATCATGTTATGAGGACTAAACTGTTTACAGCTGTAGCAACATGTAACATTATGTACAGTTCAGAAAAAGTATAGTTCCTCCATGACCTTATATCTTTCCGTTAATAGTAACCGCTTGTGTATGTATTATTCAGAAAAAATAGTTCCATAATGACCTTATTTCTTTCTATTAATAGTAACCGCTTGTGTATGTATTATTCAGATAAAAATAGTTCCATAATGACCTTATTTCTTTCTATTAATAGTAACCACATGTAAAGTTAAAGAATCATTCCGTAAATATCATTATGAGGAGTCCTACTACAATAACGTTATTTAGACACTATAACTTGATCACACCAATGTGCGAAATGAAATTTAATTATCAACTTATTTACTGTATAATAATATGTTATTTCCAAAGAACAGTTGATAAAGTTCCGATGGTCACACTCCGCGAGACTTATAATTAACCTCAATTACTATTAGAATAAACAGGATTTACAAGTTCTCCTGACCAGTGTGCGAACGACATTCAACATTGGTCTGATAGTAATAGAAGCTGTTACTCTCATTTGAACGATATGGTACACCGAAGGATATGTATCAGTAATGTTATTGTTCTAAACATAAATTGATTAAGGGCGTTATGTACACAGTCATTTTTCATGGAAGACAGTGTTAAATTGATGTATCATTTAAAACATGCATTATAAACACTGACACAATAAACTATAAACACAGCTTTTGTCAGAATGACTGTTACACGAATGATACACCGAAAACACCCCTGTACAAAGGATTTCGGGGTTTGGCCGTTTTTTTCTGTAGAAAAATATTTAAAAAAACCATATTAGACACAATCAGATCGGCGTTCTAGGATACAATGTCCCTCCTAATGTCGTTAATTCCCCTGTTCTCACCATTTGTCCTAACCCGTTAACCGAGCCTCCCCTGTTTTCACCCTTTGTCCTAACCCGTTAGCCGAGCCTTCCCTGTTCTCATCCTTTGTCCTAACCCGTTGTCCGAGCCTCCCCTGTTCTCATCCTTTGACCTAACCCGTTTTCCGAGCCTCCTCTGTTCTCACCCTTTGTCTTAACCTGTTGTCCGAGCCTCCCCTGTTCTCATCGTTTGTCCTAACTCATTGTCCGAGGCTCCCCTGTTCTTATCCTTTGTTCTAACCCATTGTCCGAGCCTCCACTGTTCTCACTTTTTGTCCTCACCCGTTGTCCGGTCCTCCCCTGTTCTCTCTTTTTGTCCTAACCTATTGTCTGAGCCGCCTCTGCTCCCACCCTTTGTCCTAATCCGTTGTCCGAGCCTCCCCTGTTCTCACCCTTTGTCCTAACCCGTTAACCGAGCCTCCCCTGTTTTCCCCCTTTTCCTAACCAGTTAACCGAGCCTTCCCTGTTCTCAGCCTTTGTCCTAACCCGTTGTCCGAGCCTCCCCTGTTCTCACTTTTTGTCCTCACCCGTTGTCCGAGCCTCCCCTGTTCTCACCCTTTGTCCTAACCCGTTGTCCGAGCCTCCCCTGTTCTCATCCTTTGTCCTAACCCGTTTTCCGAGCCTCCTCTGTTCTCACCCTTTGTCTTAACCTGTTGTCCGAGCCTCCCCTGTTCTCATCCTTTGTCCTAACTCATTGTCCGAGGCTCCCCTGTTCTTATCCTTTGTTCTAACCCATTGTCCGAGCCTCCACTGTTCTCACTTTTTGTCCTCACCCGTTGTCCGAGCCTCCACTGTTCTCCCTTTTTGTCCTCCCCCGTTGTCCGCGCCTCCCCTGTTCTCATCCTTTGCCCTAACTCATTGTCCGAGGCTCCCCTGTTCTTTCCCTTTGTCCTAACCCATTGTCCGGGGCTCGCCTGTTCTTAACCTTTGTTCTAACCCATTGTCCGAGCCTCCACTGTTCTCACTTTTTGTCCTCCCCCGTTGTCCGAGCCTCCCCTGTTATCATCCTTTGTCCTAACCCGTTGTCCAAGCCTCCCCTGTTCTCATCCATTGTCCTAACCCGTTGTCTAAGCCTCCACTGTTCTCATCCTTTGTCCTTACCCGTTGTCCGAACCTCCTCTGTTATCACCCTTTGTCTTAACCCGATGTCCGAGCCTCCCCTGTTCTCATCCTTTGTCCTAACTCATTGTCCGAGGCTCCCCTGTTCCTACCCTTTGTTCTAACCTATTGTACGAGCCTCCCCTGTTCTCACTTTTTGTCCTCACATATTGTCCGAGCCTCCTCTGTTCCCACCCTTTGTCCTAACCCGTTGTCCGAGCCTCCCTTGTTCTCACTTTTTGTTCTCAACCGTTATCCGAGCCTACCCTGTTCTCATCATTTGTCCTAACCCGTTGTCCGAGCCTCCCCTGTTATCATCCTTTGTCCTACCCCGGTGTCTGAGCCTCCCCTTTTTTCACTTATTGTCCTAACCCGTTGTCCAAGCCTCCCCTGTTCTCATCCTTTGTCCTACCCCGTTCTCCGAGCCTCCCCTGTTCTCACCCTTTGACCTAACCCATTGTCCGAGCCTCCCCTGTTCTTACCCTTTGTCCTAACCCATTGTCCGAGCCTCCCCTGTTCTCATTTTTTGTCCTCACCCGTTGTCCGATCCTCCCCTGTTCTCATCCTTTGTCCTAACCCGTTGTCCAAGCCTTCCCTGTTCTCATCCTTTGTCCTAACCCGTTGTCTAAGCCTCCCCTGTTCTCATCCTTTGTCCTAACCCGTTGTCCGAACCTCCTCTGTAATCACCCTTTGTCTTAACCCGATGTCCGAGCCTCCCCTGTTATCATCCTTTGTCCTAACCCGTTGTCTAGACCTCCCCTGTTCTCATCCTTTGTCCTAACCCGTTGTCCGAACCTCCTCTGTTCTCACCCTTTGTCTTAACCCGTTGTCCGAGCCTCCCCTGTTATCATCCTTTGTCCTCACCTATTGTCCGAGCCTCCCCTGTTATCATCCTTTGTCCTAACCCATTGTCCGAGGCTCCCCTGTTCTTACCCTTTGTCCTAACCCATTGTCCGAGCCTCCCCTGTTCTCACTTTTTGTCCTCACCCGTTGTCCGAGCCTCCCCTGTTCTCATCCTTTGTCCTAACCCGTTGTCCAAGCCTCCCCTGTTCTCATCCTTTGTCCTAACCCGTTGTCCGAGCCTCCCTTATTCTCACTTTTTGTCCTCACCCGTTATCCGAGCCTCCCCTGTTCTCATCCTTTGTCCTAACCCGTTGTCTAAGCCTTCCCTGTTCTCATCCTTTGTCCTAACCCGTTGTCCGAGCCTCCTCTGTTCTCACCCTTTGTCTTAACCCGTTGTCCGAGCCTCCCCGGTTATCATCCTTTGGCCTAACCCGTTGTCCGAGCCTCCCCTGTTCTCACTTTTTGTCCTAACCCGTTGTCCAAGCCTCCCCTGTTCTCATCCTTTGTCCTAACCCGTTGTCCGAGCCTACCCTGTTATCATCCTTTGTCCTAACCCGTTGTCCGAGCCTCCCCTGCTCACACATTTGTAAGTTTCCCAGTAGGTAGGTTTTATCACTTATTTCACTTTGATTCAATTTTGGGTCAGTAACTGTGAGCTGTACACCTTCGCACCGCTACACTCGTGTCAGTATAGGCGAACAGATTCTAGGTTAAACAAATAGTTCTGCTTTAGCCACATTCTTGATAAAGAAATATCGGTAACTTCACCATATGGCAGATTGCACCCCATTTTACACTTTAACCGTCTAAAACATATTTACTCAAACTGTCGTAGTTCATGGAAAGTCAGAACGGCTTCTACAATGATTTATCTTTCACCTGTAGTATATTCTGTCAATTATCCAGGAAAACTATGTCACCGCATTTCTTTCGGCACTTTTACTGCTGGTTCTGTTGTTGTCCTCCCCCCCTCCTAACCCATTGTCCGAGCCTCCCCGTTCTCACTTTTTGTCCTCCCCCGTTGTCCGAGCCTCCCCTGTTCTCACCCTTTGTCCTAACCCGTTCTCCGAGCCTCCTCTGTTCTCATCCTTTGTCCTAACCCGTTGTCCGAGTCTCCCCTGTTCTCATCCTTTGTCCTAACCCGTTTTCCGAGCCTCCCCTGTTCTCACTTTTTGTCCTCACCCGTTGTCCGAGTCTCCCCTGTTCTCATCCTTTGTCCTAACCCATTGTCCGAGCCTCCCCTGTTATCATCCTTTGTCCTAACCCGTGGTCCGAGGCTCCCCTGTTCTTACCCTTTGTTCTTACCCATTGTCCGAGCCTCCCCTGTTCTCACTTTTTGTCCTCACCCGTTGTCCGAGCCTCCCCTGTTCTCATCCTTTGTCTTAACCCGTTGTTCAAGCCTCCCCTGTTCTCATCCTTTGTCCTAACCCGTTGTCCGAGCCTCCCTTGTTCTCACTTTTTGTCCTCACCCGTTATCCGAGCCTCCCCTGTTCTCATCCTTTGTCCTAACCCGTTGTCTAAGCCTCCCCTGTTCTCATCCTTTGTCCTAACCCATTGTCCGAGCCTCCCCTGTTCTCACTTTTTGTCCTCACCCGTTGTCCGAGCCTCCCCTGTTCTCATCCTTTGTCCTAACCCATTGTCCGAGCCTCCCCTGTTCTCACTTTTTGTCCTCACCCGTTGTCCGAGCCTCCCCTGTTCTCATCCTTTGTCCTAACCCGTTTTCCGAGCCTCCCTTGTTCTCACTTTTTGTCCTCACCCGTTATTCGAGCCTCCCCTGTTCTCATCCTTTGTCCTAACCCGTTGTCTAAGCCTCCCCTTTTCTCATCCTTTGTCCTAACCCGTTGTCCGAGCCTCCCCTGTTATCATCCTTTGTCCTAACCCGTTTTCCGAGCCTCCCTTGTTCTCACTTTTTGTCCTCCCCCGTTATTCGAGCCTCCCCTGTTCTCATCCTTTGTCCTAACCCGTTGTCCAAGCCTCCCCTGTTCTCATCCTTTGTCCTAACCCGTTTTCCGAGCCTCCCTTGTGCTCACTTTTTGTCCTCACCCGTTATTCGAGCCTCCCCTGTTCTCATCCTTTGTCCTAACCCGTTTTCCGAGCCTCCCTTGTTCTCACTTTTTGTCCTCACCCGTTATTCGAGCCTCCCCTGTTCTCATCCTTTGTCCTAACCCGTTTTCCGAGCCTCCCTTGTGCTCACTTTTTGTCCTCACCCGTTATTCGAGCCTCCCCTGTTCTCATCCTTTGTCCTAACCCGTTGTCCAAGCCTCCCCTGTTCTCACCCTTTGTCCTAACCCGTTCTCCGAGCCTCCTCTGTTCTCACCCTTTGTCCGAGCCTCCCCTGTTATCATTCTTTGTCCTAACCCGTGGTCCGAGCCTCCCCTGCTCACACATTTGTAAGTTTCCCAGTAGGTACGTTTTATCACTTATTTCACTTTGATTCAATTTTGGGTCAGTAACTGTGAGCTGTACACCTTCGCACCGCTACACTCGTGTCAGTATGGGCGAACAGATTCTAGGTTAAACAAATAGTCCTGCTTTAGTCACATTCTTGATATAGAAATATCGGTAACTTCACCATATGGCAGATTGTACCCCATTTGACACTTTAACCGTCTAAAATCATATTTACTCAAACTGTCGTGGTTCATGGAAAGTCAGAACGGCTTCTACAATGATTTATCTTTCACCTGTAGTATATTCTGTCAATTATCCAGGAAAACTATGTCACAGCATTTCTTTCGGCACTTTTACTGCTGATTGTGTTGTTGTTCCCCCCAATGCAGACATAGCAGTATTACATTTAGTAAAGCAACTCACTCGTCCTTACTCCTCACGATCAAAAACAATCTATCACTGAAGGTGTTTTGTATCCTCTATCTCCTTGAAACATTTCGTCTAGCTCAAATAATCTGATATTAGAAGTCCTTCGGTCATCTAACTTCATAAGGAATACCACTCTACTTCTGTAACCACGTTCTGGGTCTGACATTGAGCAGGTACTTGATTTTATCAGGTAGCGCAAATATCCATTAAAGTACGACTGACACACATGCAGTATGCATGATCCTGCGTATATGGCTGTCCTACCTGACAAAGATAATACGTTAAAATCCTGTCTAAGGTCATCAAGGAACAGACAACAAAACAATTCAATCATTTTAACATTACACTTTTATTTTCAAATATGAGTGAGTTGGAACATGCATATTGCTGACATACAGATACTGGTAACTCTACATACATGTATAATCATTTCTATGGGAGGGTTTCAGATATACCTACAGACATATTGTCACTCTACTACTCCACGTAAACACAAGTATAAAAAACGAAGAGGAAAAGTCTAGTTATAGATCCAAAATATAAAAAATGGAATATTGGTTTTCAAGCTGATTTATGGACTTGTGTGCAAAGCTCTGATTAGCTTAGACATATGTTTGTGTACGTTTGTTTGGAGTTGAACGTCCTCGCGACAGCTAGGGTGGAATGCGATAGAAGATTAAGGGTGGTATTTAAAGGCATATCTTCGAAGCACAAATGACAGGAAGAAAACGTTTTGAATCTCCCGTCTTCAGATGATCTTCTTGAATCCACATTGTACATGTATTTTTTGGAATTCATTATTTTTGGGAAAATGTACTTACTAAACGTTGATGTTTACTTGTTAGGTAATTCCGACCCATGCTACTGGTCATGGACGCTAATCTCAGTTCTTATTAAAACAATCAGATCAAATCACGAAGAAAAATTGTCAGCTTGTGTGAAATAGTTCGAACTTCAAATCCGTTAGTTTCGATTTCTTCTCGCACATTGCAGGGTAAAACTAACGTGTTTTCGCTAAAGTTCATACGACTGAAATATGCCGCCATTGTCACCACACTGGCCCTATACAAATGCCTTAACAAAAACCATTATTGCTTATTAAAATTTTCACTACGCTACTTATATACATGTACACACATATTCTAAACTACGGTTACAAATCTTACACTCGTTTATATCCCCTGTGTCCCTTCGTACGTTCTAGTCGTCTAGGAGACTCCCTGGTCAGAACTAAGTTTGTATGTGCCATGGACATATGCCGAGATATTTATGCATGAAAAACCTTTTCCAGAAATAGCTACCTTTAAAAGACCAATGGTATATCTTGCGTTTTTAATGTACGGAAAACAAAAACATTATACGAACACGACAAAACTACATGTACATACATAATTACTACCTTGTAACACCAAAATATACCCGCTCATCGAAGAAGGACAACCCATTTACTCATCTACTATCCTAAAATTTCAGTAAAAGATTTCTATATTGTGTAGTTGATACATAGGTGATGGCCAATATATAGTGTACTTCTCATTAAGTGTAGACTAGGGTGTTGGTCACTGAGATTCATTGTGCACACACCTTTATACACGACTATCATTGGTCATCAGTTGATGTTCGGGTAGTTTAAGAAATATATATCCGACGTAACTGAAGGATACAGTAAAACCAAACCCAAATTTACAACCATAAACAAAATAAAAGTCATGTCGCAAGGTCTCTTTTATTCATAAAATCTCTCTGAGTAACAGGTAACATTGACCCATTCAAATAATTTCAGTTTCAGCATGCCATTGTTTTTAATAAGGGGCTCTACCTTATCCTTGTGTATGGACAACGCAGTACTCTTTTTCTAAATTTATTTTATCCTATTTAAATAGGATATTACAGATATTTTCGTTCGCCACTTTTATTGTTTGCCGTCTATTTTTTTGCTGTGATAATTTCATTGGTATTTATTTCTGCATAAACGTCGGTATGTTTTATACCAAATGGATAAGTATTTCTATAAAAATCAGATAGGAAAACGGTACACAAAACAACTCCTACAGACGTTCTATTGTATTACACCATCAAACATATTTAATATGGAATCCTATAGATCAACAGTAATACAACTAAAACCATTTACTAACAGGGTACGTTATTTTCAAAACCAAAGACAGATCGAAGAAAAAAATATTGGAAAAGTTTCTGCATGGCCATGTATTACCACATTGTGCTGGTGGTAGGCTACGTTCTTTTGAAACTTTTCACATTTATATACAGCATTGTACTACATTCAGACTGTTGTATAAAACAATTATGGTAGCTACACGTACACGTAACGACAGTCTAAAACAAATAAATTGATAAATTAACTCGAGTTGGATGAATTTGAGAGCCAACCACCATTGATGAAGGAACCTGAGATTGTAAAATTTACATTTATTTTTCACGAATCGTTTGTACCTGACCATTCTCTAGTATATGTTGAAAATGTCTTGATTGGTGTCTTCTGCTTGTCATAATAATTGTTTCGACTTGAAACTAGGAGCCGGACGCTGGAAAGTTTGATGATTTGCCTCTCTATAAATGTTACAAAGTTATATAAGTTGAGTGTGGTGATCCCGCCTTGATACCGCGTGTTGTGTCACATGACTAGATTAGAGTTGTAGACGAGCGTGTCAAAATACGTATGACTGTAGAATGGCGATGATGACTGTAAATGTCACGCCGACGTTTGAGAAGTGGGCCGCCGTGTTCAATTCGTCCTCTAACTTGAAATTACGGGACACCTCCCGGCCGTTCAGGGGGTGAACTGGCCGGAAGTTGTCCACAAGCGGGTGTGTCTGTCCTCTTCCGTCTGATGATGCAGATCTGAACATGTCAAGCTATTGAAAAAATAAACAAAATGAAAAGTTATTTATCTGTAGCAAATGAGTTTAGAACATATATTTCCGCTTCAAACTGTTGACACACTTGGTAAAAACTTCAATATAATAGGGATAGCTACAGTTTCGACCGACACACAACAGCTCAGATAAATGTAGCTCGAGAGTATACAATTAATTCACATAAAGGCAGACTTGTCAACAGTACAAATGCCTAGAGATTCCCATTACAGGTAAACTAGCAGGCAGCAAAAAGTTCGCAGAGCCTAAATAGAGAAATTGTTAAAATGTTTGAAACTTAAATTCTAGATTAAAACAAACGAAGATGAGAAACCTGGCAACTGATATATTTAATCATGTCGATATAACATTGAAAATCATAATATAACATTGTAATAGCTCAAATAACATTGAAAAAGATCAATATAACACTGAATATCACAATATAACATTGAAATAGCTCAATATAACATTGAAATAGCTCAACATATCATTGTAATAGCTCAATATAAAATTAAAATAGCTCAATATAAAATTAAAATAGCTCAATATAACACTAAAATAGCTCAATATAACATTGAAATAGCTCAATATAACATTGAAATAGCTCAATATAACATTAAAATAGCTCAATATAACATTAAAATAGCTCAATATAACATTGTAATAGCTCAAATAACATTGAAAAAGATCAATATAACACTGAATATCACAATATAACATTAAAATAGCTCAATATAACATTGAATATCATAATATAATATTAAAATAGCTCAATATAACATTAAAATAGCTCAATATAACATAGAAATAGGTCAAGATAACATCGAAAACATAATATAACATTGAAATAGCTCAATATAACATGGAATATCACAATATAACATTGAAATAGCTCAAGATAACATTGAAATAGCTCATTGAATGTACTTCAATATACCATTGAACTAGATGATGCTCAATATGGCATTTCCCTAGAGATCATTCCTGTAATAACAATGAACAGGTCTAAACTGAATATAGAAATGCCGACCTGCTGCCTTGACAGAAATATTTTGTCCTCAAACATTGTCCATGTAACACTTTCAAAGCAAGGGGGCGTGGTCAGACTTCCCTTGTACCGGAAGAACCTGTTCATGTTTTTAGGCAGCATTGCCCCTACATTTAAAGTGAGTGGGTTGTTGGTTCCTATAACAAAAAAAAAGTTTGTAGCATATAAGCTTTTAAAGAGATATATCCCCTGATTAATACATGTGTATACTGATGAGTAAATTGCATAGTTTATATATATACATAGATACATAGAACTATCCTGACAAACTTAGGATTTTACGGTACTTCAGCTCCGAAATAAAAAAATAATAATAAATAAAACCATATTTCAAAAGTTGCGACGTTTAGATTTCGACTTTTCTTTAAAACTGAATTTCTGCGCTTGGTTTTGCCAGTGTTCATCTAATTTATATTCAAATTGTTTAACTGTGCTTATATTCACAACATTTGACGGAAGTTTGGTCCATAAATCAACAGCTCTCTGTGTAAACCTTCTAAAAAATCTTCTAATAATTAATCTTGAACACTATTTGTAATTTTTAAGTTGCGTCCACGTGTAGATGAACTTTCCCTGCTATTAAATACGTCGGATACTTCATGTCATATTTTCCGGACAACATTTTGTAATCTCTATGTCGCTACGTGATCGTCTATATGCTAGTGTTATATATTGTATGAGTAATGTGGGCATTGTATAGTAAATTTGAATATTGTAAAGTAGATATTTATTTAGAAAGTATAAAGAATTTAAAGATATTGTAATATACTGAAATGTGTAAACTGTATAGTAAATCATTTCGTCTCGGTTAATATCACTCTTACAGTTATTAAAACACATATTCATCTCAACAAAAATTGATAATTGATCGGTATTGTATAGTTATGTTTGCTATGTCCGTATGTACGTTTATTGATCAGTATTGTATAGTTATGTGTACAATATCCGTGCGTACGTTTATTGATCAGTATTGTATAGTTATGTGTACTATGTCCGTATGTACGTTTATTGATCAGTATCGTATAGTTATGTGTACTACTATGTCCGTGCGTACCTTTATTGATCAGTATTGCATAGTCATGTGTACTATGTCCGTAAGTGCGTTTATTGACCAGTATTGTATAGTTATGTGGATTATGTCCGTACGTGCGTTTATTGATCAGTATTGCATAGTCATGTGTACTATGTCCGTACATACGTTTATTGATCAGTATCGTATAGTTATGTGTACTACTATGTCCGTGCGTACCTTTATTGATCAGTATTGCATAGTCATGTGTACTATGTCCGTCCTTACGTTTATTGATCAGTAATGTATAGTAATGTGTACTATGTCCGTTCGTACGTTTATTGATCAGTATTGTATAGTTATGTGTATTATGTCCGTACGTGCGTTTATTGATCATTATTGTATAGTTATGTGTACTATGTCAATACGTACGTTTATTGAGCAGTATTGTATAGTTATGTGTACTATGTACGTACGTACGTTTATTGATCACCATTGTATAGTTGTGTGTACTATGACCGTCCGTACGTTTATTGATCAGTAATGTATAGTAATGTGTACTATGACCGTCCGTACGTTTATTGATCAGTATTGTATATTAATGTGTACTATGTCCGTACGTACGTTTATTGATCAACATTGTATAGTTGTGTGTACTATGTCCGTGCCTACCTTTATTGATCAGTATTGTATAGTAGTGTGTACTATGTCCGTACGTACGTTTATTGATCGGTATTGTAAAGTTATGTGTACTATGGCCGTACGTACGTTTATTGATCAGTAATGTATAGTAATGTGTACTATGACCGTACGTACGTTTATTGATCAGTATTCTATAGTTATGTGTACTATGTACGTACGTACGTTTATTGATCAGTATTGTATAGTTATGTGTATTATGTCCGTACGTACGTTTATTGATCATTATTGTATAGTTATGTGTACTATGTCCGTACGTACGTTTATTGATCAGTATTGTATAGTTATGTGTACTATGACCGTACGTACGTTTATTGATCATTATTGTATAGTTATGTGTACTATGTCCGTACATACGTTTATTGATCAGTATTGTATAGTTGTGTGTACTATGACCGTCCGTACGTTTATTGATTAGTATTGTATAGTTATGTGTATTATGTCCGTACGTACGTTTATTGATCAGTATTGTATAGTGATGTGTACTATGTCCGTACGTACGTTTATTGATCAGTATTGTATAGTTATGTGTATTATGTCCGTACGTGCGTTTATTGATCATTATTGTATAGTTATGTGTACTATGTCAATACGTACGTTTATTGAGCAGTATTGTATAGTTATGTGTACTATGTCCGTACGTACGTTTATTGATTAGTATTGTATAGTTATGTGTACTATGTCCGTCCTTACGTTTATTGATCAGTATTGTATAGTAATGTGTACTATGACCGTCCGTACGTTTATTGATCAGTATTGTATATTAATGTGTACTATGTCCGTACGTACGTTTATTGATCAACATTGTATAGTTGTGTGTACTATGTCCGTGCCTACCTTTATTGATCAGTATTGTATAGTAGTGTGTACTATGTCCGTACGTACGTTTATTGATCGGTATTGTAAAGTTATGTGTACTATGTCCGTACGTACGTTTATTGATCAGTAATGTATAGTAATGTGTACTATGACCGTACGTACGTTTATTGATCAGTATTCTATAGTTATGTGTACTATGTACGTACGTACGTTTATTGATCAGTATTGTATAGTTATGTGTATTATGTCCGTACGTACGTTTATTGATCATTATTGTATAGTTATGTGTACTATGTCCGTACGTACGTTTATTGATCAGTATTGTATAGTTATGTGTACTATGACCGTACGTACGTTTATTGATCATTATTGTATAGTTATGTGTACTATGTCCGTACATACGTTTATTGATCAGTATTGTATAGTTGTGTGTACTATGACCGTCCGTACGTTTATTGATTAGTATTGTATAGTTATGTGTATTATGTCCGTACGTACGTTTATTGATCAGTATTGTATAGTGATGTGTACTATGTCCGTACGTACGTTTATTGATCAGTATTGTATAGTTATGTGTATTATGTCCGTACGTGCGTTTATTGATCATTATTGTATAGTTATGTGTACTATGTCAATACGTACGTTTATTGAGCAGTATTGTATAGTTATGTGTACTATGTCCGTACGTACGTTTATTGATTAGTATTGTATAGTTATGTGTACTATGTCCGTCCTTACGTTTATTGATCAGTATTGTATAGTAATGTGTACTATGACCGTCCGTACGTTTATTGATCAGTATTGTATATTAATGTGTACTATGTCCGTACGTACGTTTATTGATCAACATTGTATAGTTGTGTGTACTATGTCCGTGCCTACCTTTATTGATCAGTATTGTATAGTAGTGTGTACTATGTCCGTACGTACGTTTATTGATCGGTATTGTAAAGTTATGTGTACTATGTCCGTACGTACGTTTATTGATCAGTAATGTATAGTAATGTGTACTATGACCGTACGTACGTTTATTGATCAGTATTCTATAGTTATGTGTACTATGTACGTACGTACGTTTATTGATCAGTATTGTATAGTTATGTGTATTATGTCCGTACGTACGTTTATTGATCATTATTGTATAGTTATGTGTACTATGTCCGTACGTACGTTTATTGATCAGTATTGTATAGTTATGTGTACTATGACCGTACGTACGTTTATTGATCATTATTGTATAGTTATGTGTACTATGTCCGTACATACGTTTATTGATCAGTATTGTATAGTTGTGTGTACTATGACCGTCCGTACGTTTATTGATTAGTATTGTATAGTTATGTGTATTATGTCCGTACGTACGTTTATTGATCAGTATTGTATAGTAATGTGTACTATGTCCGTACGTACGTTTATTGATTGGTATTGTAAAGTTATGTGTACTATGTCCGTACGTACGTTTATTGATCAGTATTGTATAGTAATGTGAACTATGTCCGTACGTACGTTTATTGATCGGTATTGTATAGTTATGTGTACTATGTACGTACGTCCGTTTATTGATCAGTATTGTATAGTTATGTGTACTATGTCCGTATGTACGTTTATTTATCAGTATTGTATAGTTATGTGTACTATGTACGTACGTACGTTTTGTTGTGTACTACCTTTACTTACCTTTATAGGTGACGTTTCCTATGGCGTTGGTTATTGGGGCAAACGCGGAGTTGTCAGTCTGCAACAAAAGCAATAGTACAGTCTAAGGGAGGTCACTCGCATTGTCGAAACCGCTTAAAAAACTAGTTAAAATAGTAAATACATGTAAGATACTGATCTACTATTTTAACTAGTTTTTTCAAATAGCAAAGGACGTAGGCTGGGCAAGTAATGCGGCCATGTTTGGCTAGAAAGAATAACTGAAAAGTAAGAGCTATACAAGGGAACGTACCTCTGGCTACAACAGCTAACGTCGTCCAATATATGTTAAAATTCAATTTATCCTAAATTATCAAAAAAATGTTTTATATATATGCAGTTACGAGCCATTATATTCTGTCGATTTGGTGGACACTTGATCTATATCTTATATAATTATTTTTGTATTATGAAAATACCCATAAACTTTTTCTAAGGGAAATAATCTGTGCAACTGGTGTCAATATAGCACTGGAAATGATAAAGATGTTCGTTCTTTAACAACGTTAGCAAACTAGGGGTCCGGTGATTTATATATTTAACACACCAACCTAAAAATAAAAAGAACGATTGATGGCTGATCGTAAACATATCACTAAAGAGTTATCTGAAAAATCATAAAAGGAAGCAAAATTTGATAAATGGTAAAATTGATATAAATGTGCTTCCATTAACAACTCTTTCATTTTAATATTAGTCCATACTAATTACGTCATGTCCCAATGTGTACCTACCGTCGTATGCGTCACCCAGAAACCCAGTACAGCCAGACCGTCGTCCTTATCGATTGCTTCCTGTATGCTGCTGTACTTCTGATTGTAGTTCACTATGTGCATCTTAAACAAGTTAAAATGATCTATATATCAATATGCTAATAACGTTTAGCATATCATTTATCTTTAAACATTAGAATTCTAAATCAGAAAGCTTCAAATTAACTCCATATACATATTACTAATATAACGCTATGCACTTTAGGACGGAGCGCCTTGAGAAATATTAAAATGTTTTTTGAAATCTTCGCGACTTGGTAATGTTCAGTAATGACAAATATTTAAGACAGTGATTTTACCAGGTCATCGTAAGATTTTTAATTCAAATTAGCGATGTGTCTTAACTAACCATTTGGTTCTCGACCTTTGACGTTTTGAGATACTGACCTCCATAGGATAAGGTCGTCCGTTATAGGTGTGTTCCGAACCGTCGGAGTTGTCGTGGCCCCAGTGGAAGTGTAACTGGGCCATCTTAAAGGAACTCCCCGGAAGTCCTCCTCCCGATACAATCAAGTCACCGGCAATGTCAACCTGCACTGTAACATGTGACGTCATCAATTTGTGAGTAAGTATATACCTGTTGTTGTGATTATATACTCTAACTGTTTGCAGCAATCATTAAGAATTAAAGTACTTCCTCCAATTTCTAATTAATCAAGCCGGGCGTTTGATAAGAGATCTGGGATAGTCTCCGACTGATCTTCTGTCGTTCGCTGGAAACAGTAACCATAGAGACGGAAAGAAACTTCTCAAATTGATTGAAGTTTAATATAGCATAGTATATATGTAAACATAAGAATTAAAACACAATTTCATATTTCAAGCAGTTATGATAAGTATGTAACCCATTTTCTATGTAACAAACATGCCCTTCAAATGGAAAGCATGGTAGCGCAATGCTTTAAGAATACTAATATTAGACAAAAATGTTTTGACAGGATTGCATAGTAACTCTGCAACTGTACACTGCCATAGTGAGTTGTCATATGGAATAAGGATTTGGAAATAAAGAATTCGAAATCAAACAGCAATTATTAACTTTTAAACTCCCCGGAACAAGACTAGTTGACTGTCACTGGCGATAAGCGACGTGCCGAATACAATGGAGGTCCTTGTCAGGGATTGCTGTTCTACCCATTCGGATGGTGACAATGTACGTGTACGTACTTAAAGTGTACAAAGAAGTACCGACACAAGAAGATATCCAGAATCACTGAAGTCCTGTAACATGTACCTTGCCATTGTATGCTCAATTAAAGATTTACGTGTTTTAACGCCGTTGCGACAGGTGAGTTACTAAAAAGATTAAGAGGGACAACGTCTGCTACAGGAAAAATGTGCCGGTTACTTAGTAGTCTATCACAGAGGAATGTTAGAGCTATGTTTTACATAAGACAGGTGGTTTGTGTTGCACAGTACACTAACACGTATGTCTCTATGTTAAACAAACCTGGTATGCTCATTTCATATATGTTCGCTCACAAAGTGGTGACCTTTTTGGTCAACACTCCCTTCCCCAATTTTTGCAGATAAAAATGCTATCTGTCTACATTTTTGCCCCCATATTCCACACTAGATATTGGTCTCCATATCCCACAAAAAACATTTGCCCGATATCCCACACCAGACATTGGTCCCCATATCCTACACCAGACATTGTTCCCCATATCACACACCAGACATTGGTCCCCATATCCCACACCAGACATCGGTCCCCATATCACACACCATATATTGGTCCCCATATCCCACAACAGACATCGGTCCCCATATCCCACACCAGACATTGGTCCCCTAACCCACACCATACATTGGTACATTGGTCCCCATATCCCAAACCAGACATTGATCCCCATATCCCACACCACACATTGTTCCCTATATCCCACACCAAACACTGGTCCCTATATCCCACAACAGATATTGGTCCCTATATCCCACATCACACATTGATCCCCATATCCCACACCATACGTTGGTCCCCATGTCCAACACCAGACATTGGTCCCCATATCCCACACCACACATTGTTCCCTATATCCCACGCCAAACACTGGTCCCTATATCCCACAACAGATATTGGTCCCTATATCCCACATCACACATTTATCCCCATATCCCACACCATACGTTGGCCCCCATATCCCACACCAGACATTGGACCCCATATCCCACACCACACATTGTTCCCTATATCCCACACCAAACATTGGTCCCTATATCCCACACCAGACATTGGTACATTGGTCCCCATATCCCACACCAGACATTGATCCCCATATCCCACACCACACATTGGTCCCCATATCCCACAACAGATATTGGTCCCTATATCCCACATCACACATTGATCCCCATATCCCACACCATACGTTGGTCCCCATATCCCACACCAGACATTGGTCCCCATATCCCACTCCACACATTGATCCCTATATCCCACACCAAACATTGGTCCCTATATCCCACACCAGTCATTGGTCCCCATATCCCACACCAGACATTGGTCCCAATATCCCACTCCACACATTGATCCCTATATCCCACACCAAACATTGGTCCCTATATCCCACACCAGACATTGGTCCCCATATCCCACTCCACACATTGATCCCCATATCCCACACCACACATTGTTCCCTATATCCCACACCAAACATTGGTCCCTATATCCCACAACAGACATTGGTCCCCATATCCCACACCAGACATTCGCGTCTGGTCCCTGACAAGCGGGCGAGTCTCCTGGAACCCACACCACCCAAACTCCGTACAAAACACTGGATGAACGTCAGTTCCAACCCACAACACTCACATGTGTGCCCGTTATTTTTTATGGTAGTGGTGTATTGGTTCGTGTTCCCAAACCCTTGTAACCGGAAGTTGCTGATGACGGAGTAATCCTGTTTCATGACGGACGGGACGTCTATGGGAGATTGGTATTGGCCGTTACATACAGAGTTCGTTACATGGGCCCAGCCTGAAGGATCTGTAAATGGAACGTAATTAAACATTTTAAAATTTCGATCTGATAAAGTAAGGAATTGTGAAGCAGTGCACTATAATGTAACTACATGTATACGATTTTGAAAAGAAAAATAATTAAGTCGGCCTGGATTAACAATTGATGTACATTGTTTTTATTTACAGTTGGTTGATATTTACAGATATTCTTAAACTAAATGTATATTGGTGGTGCATATCAACAAATATTCGTTATGAAACCGGTGTTTTAAAACTATTTTACCAATCTTACCATCAATTCTTCATGGATGTGTCTGAATTTGACCTTAATGGATAACAACTACAAAGTACATATATATGTATCTATATACGTACCAGCTTGAGCGTCATGTGAGCCATAATGCCAATCTGAAAAGATAAAATAACTTCATTTCATCTGCTGAAATTAATTTTGATCAACGTAATATATAATATGTACATAATAGTATAACTTAGGGTCGAGTTTATGCATTCTGTAAAAACATTAGATTTTGTTGGAGATTTAATTTCGTTTATTTCGTGATTTTATTAAACCCACGAAATATAATCCCAACGAAATTTTAAACACACGAAATATCAACTAAACGAAAACATTACATAAACTATTCATTTCATTACAAATCTATGATGTATTTACATTAAGACACAAGTCATGATTAAGTGTAATTATCGTCACAGGCGCAGAGGTAAACACCTACATTGTATAACAACAGCGTGTCAATCAAGCGTTATAGTTATCATTAAACATAGGTTACGTCAGCATCGTAAGAACTTCTGACAAGTTATATTTACATTATACATAATAAAGAAGACTAACATGATAAATGCCAAATTTGCTCTTTGATATATTCCGGATTTTGGCGTTAAAAGTATATTCTTTATTATTATTAATTTTATTATTAATTTTAGGACTTTTTAGTACTATTCTAATTTAGGATCGAGTTTATACAACATATTGTCATTAAAATTCGAGTTTATACATACATTGTAATAAAGGATCGAGTTTATGCATTATATTGTACTTAAGGATCAAGTTTATGCATTACACTGTATATTGTAATTGAGGATCGAGTTTGCTAGTGATGTTACATTTTTAGTTAGACCCATTCAGTTCAGCAATCAAAAATAGAGTCTTAGATGTTTAACTCAGTAAACCTATATATATATATATAACGGAAACTCGTCGTCATTACTTTAGGTATGTAGATATCGAACGCGTGTTTATTGTTGTTCGTTATATTTGTTGTAATCGTTTAAGTTTTATTCTGTTTCTGAGATTCTGACATTATCGAATTTGAAGTATTTTGAACATGATTTAGCATGTATATAGAAGCGAGAATGACCAGGAAAACAAAGACTTTAGGAATCAATAATGATGGTACGCAACAGAGCTACGCCGAAACATACACGCGCATTTTGGAGATATGTTTGCACAACACAGCGTTCATACATTACATAAATACTGAAAATGTGCCATAAAAATGCCATAAATACATAATGATGTATGTCCTTTGGCCCGCAACAATCGTACACTAAGCGTATTGTATCACGGGTATAAATTCAACACATTTTTTTCCGATGATCTTCCCATCAGTAGTAACAGTCTCCTAGATAAAGATAACAGGCGAGATCATTCTGTATCTGATGAGGGACGTGTCTGCACGATCCTTATCTGTCATAAATGTTGCACGTTTATGGAGTCGGATGGCGATGAACCCGGGATTTTGCGGAATAATATTCATATTCTAACATCTCAGTCGCATGGCACGGAACCATAATTTTGCAATATCACACATTTTGCCTGTAGCTGTATTTTTTGGGTGCAGTTTGTACCCTTAAATTTACAGAATTGTTTGCATATTCTTATAAGATGCCTTGTCAAACAATAGCCGAGAACGAAAGATTTTGCAGTAATAAAATTTATATGAATCAAAATTGAAAACAGACAGTTCTTGTGTCATCCTGCTGGCCTGTCATACAGCAAATAAAATACCAGGAAGTGACGTCAATAGACCATGAGAACAATGGTTGCGTTCCAGACAGATGTACGTGATATATGTAAAGATGTAAGTACGTGTCAGTCAAATGTAACATAAATACCAACGATAACGTCGGATTCCTGTGTGGCGTGCATCAAGTAGACACACCCTTAGTGTCCGTGAACGTTACCGCACGTATGTCAAGTGTGAGTCTCGGGGAGACAAAGCCTCGTGTTACACTGATTTGGGGTCAATAATTGTGATCTGCTATATGCAGTTTACGTAGCAATTGCCCTACTGGACTAAATGAAACACGTATACGCTCGGTATAACAAGTGATCGGCTTCACACTATGAAACACCTCTACACTCATGTAACACTTGATCTGCTAAACTCATTGAAACACGTATACACTCAATGTAACAAGTGATCGGATACACTCAATGAACCACGTTTACACTTAATGAAACACGTGGTCGGTTACACTCAATGAAACACGTATATACTCGGTATAATACGTGATCGGATTCATTCATTGAAACACGGTTACACTCAATGTACCAAGTGATCGGATACACTCAATGAAACACGTTTACACTCATGTAACACGTAATCGGCTAAAATCAATGAAACACGTATACACTCGGTTTAACACGTGATCGGCTACACTCAATGAAACACGGTTACACTCAATGTAACACGTGAAAGGCCACACTCAATGTAACACGTTAAAGGTCACACTCAATGTTAACACGTGAAAGGCCACACCTCAATGTAACACCTGCTATATTTTTTTCATCCCATGCATTCCTACGAAGAGTTCCATTTTTTTAGTATGTTTTCCGTCGTGGTATGTAACGGTGTTTGGTTGTCTTTTCTTAAACATTATATACCCGTCATATTTGTTGACAGTTATATATAAGAAACTAAAGTCTAATCTTTTGTCTCAGTTAATAAATCTATAGTGTTCGAATACCAGCTGTGCGCCACTGAGGTACATTTGGGTGTATACAATGTACGGATTACTGTTGGCGTACCTACTGTATTTTAGTGCACTAACATTTTAGCGGAACAAAGGTGGAAGGATGCACTCTTTAACCAGCAGATTTTTCTTTGTAACTTAACTCATTAAGGAGCGCAATATTTCTTTCCCTAAAATATGATATAAAAATAATAAACTGGATGTACAGTGGATGTCGGGGAACAAACTAGATAGCAGGTTCTGGCATGCACGCGCCTGCTTAGGGACAACACCATACACAATCATTTACGTGTGTTGCAAGTGAGTTGTTGTCATTTACTGCCCAGAGATATTTATCATATGGATAGCGTGTGGTTTATGGTCTAATTTTAGCGGTAGACATGAATTAGCAGACAGGAATACTGCTAAAATTAGTACACTTTCGGTGATAATGTTTGGAAGTTAAATAGAAACAATTAAAACATCAATTAAAACGGCGTGTCAGTGATTTCCCATTTATTATAAAAAAAACCCACGAAGAAATACCTCTGTAAACATGGAAATGTCCCGAACGCTTTGTCGCAAAATCTGATACTCATTCAATTAACTAACTTCGTCATTATCACCATTTACTAAAATTAATCTATACAATAGAAGCGTATCTGTACTTCATGAACCGCATTTGCTATCAACTATCTTTTTAATTGACATCATCGTCATTTGTGAGAAAAAAAACATCCCTTTTTTCAATTGGAAACGAACAACACAACATATTAATGCTCCCAGTTTCTTGAGATTGCTGGGTTAAAATATAGTACACGGGGTTCAATATAATGAAGGATTGTTATAAACAGACGTGATGTATCACTGAAGTACCTGCGGTGAATAACCCTGGTGTTAAGTATTGAGGACAAACAACTTACAATAATTCCTTCCCACGCTGTATACGTACAGAAAAAAACAATAGACACGCCCTACTTTTAAACTTATATAGACTATTGCAGAACAAAAAGAGCAATCAACAAAGTTCCCATGAGACTGAGGTTTATGGAAAATGTAAATACAATCATTGTAATCCATTCATAGGTATTTTTTTAATATCGTGATACATAGTGTGTTCGTCCTATCGTCCGGTGTGACGCTAATGCTTCTCCAGTTTCCGTTCACATACTCGTAAGGCCCTCTGCGCGCTAACATCCGGGCCAAACGAGTGATAAAATGTAAGTTATATACATGTAACTTGTTTCATAACTGTGATATGATACATAAAGTGTATATGCTGTTAATTTCGACACTGGCACAACAGAGCGTCCGTATGTACAGTATGTATTGTCAATGGTACGACAGAGCGTCCGTATGTACAGTATGTATTGTCACTAGTACGACAGAGCGTCCTTATGTACAGTGTATATTGTCACTGGTACGACAGAGCGTCCGTATGAACAGTATATATTGTCACTTGTACGACAGAGCGTCCGTATGTACAGTATGCATTGTCACCGGTACGACAGACCGTCCGTATGTACAGTATGTATTGTCACTAGTACGACAGAGCGTCCGTATGTACAGTATATATTGTCACTGGTACGACAGAGCGTCCGTATGTACAGTATATATTGTCACTGGTACGACAGAGCGTCCGTATGAACAGTATATATTGTCACTTGTACGACAGAGCGTCCGTATGAACAGTATATATTGTCACTGGTACGACAGAGCGTCCGTATGTACAATATGTATTGTCACTGGTACAGCAACCGAGAAACCCATTGTCCCCCGAGGCGAAGCCGAGGGTGACAGTGGGTTTTTGAGGGTTGACAATATTTACTGTCGCCAATGAATGTGAAATCTATTTTGTTATATAAAAGCTCAGAAACGGCAGCAAACCTCGATATTGACATCTTGTTTGTTAAAACTCTGCTGTTTACAATCGCTATTGCACCGGCGCTTCATAAAATTGGCTGTTGCCGTCAATTGTTCTTGTGACCATCACGGAGGGGAAACGAAGCGGTGAACGCACATTTTTCGCGCATGTGATATTTTTCACTGTCTCATGGCAATATCACCCGCGCCCCTTAAACTACTTGTACGTCAGAGCGTCCGTGTGAACGGTAAATTTACATTGACAATACATACCGTACATCGTTTTCGTTCTGTATTAACCTTTTCACTACTGTAGACCATAATCGACACATCCAGATCAATGCATGGTAGAGACTACTAAAGTTACATAGGGGTGAAAGGGTTAAGTTTCCCCTTCCCAGTGTAATTATCATATTCTACATATATCAACAGGAAACTATATATGTATGCATATAACGTCGCACTATATGATATTCGGCATTCATTCAATACGATGCCGCTAATGTGTTTCCGTATATGATTTGTATCTTTCTCCATTACTACACTGTAAATCCCACGAGTGGAAT